GCCAGTAAGACACAGTTCATCTCTAACTGCACAAAATACTGTGATTAATCATAATATAGTTGTTTGACAGCCCTTGAAAATATGTGTAAACTTAGTAAACAGCAAGTTTCCCTCCTGGAGATGAGAAGCTTCTGGAAAGCAGATGTTTCTGTCTGGTTAGCGTTTAAAGTTCTGTACGATTCCCTTGGTGTCGTTCTCAGAGATGAAAAAAGAAAAAACAGCCCAGTAAAATCAAACTGTCGTGCTTTTCGTACAGAGTAGCAGCTCTCAGGAAGCAGGAGCTCATTACCTTATTAACGCAAACTCATCCATTACTGTAATATTGTGATACTTCTGGAAAATATTTAGATTTTACGTTCAGTTTGGTCAACACTGCCCAGCACAGTGCACACAACCATGACATCCTGTTTGTAATCAGTGAACCAAAAAACATTCATACAGAAGTTTTCAAATATCCTGCCTATTTACAGTTCTGTGCACAAGTTAGAGACCAACCTTTTAAACAAGGAGCTCTCATAGGACGCCACCTTTGCCACAAGTCACTTTTCTGCCCTGCTAGATCTGCAGCAGCCAACTAGAAGTGCTATCATTGTGAAATGGAAGTGTCTTGGAGCAACAACAGCTCAGCCACGAAGCAGTAGACCTCAAAAAATCACAGAGTTGGGCTGCTGAGTGTTAAAAAGCACAGCAGCTTTCCTGTTACATCACTAACTAGACTTCCAAACTGCCTCTGGAACCAACATCAGCCCAAGAACTGTGCATTGACATCTTCATGAAATGGGTCTCCATGGCTGAGCAGCTGCACACAGGCCTAAGATCACTATGCTCAATGCCAAGTGTCGGATGGAGGGGTGTAAAGCGCCGCCACTGGACTCTGGAGCAGTGGAACTGTGTTCTCTGGAGTGATGAATCAGCTTCACTATCTGTCAGTCTGATGATGAATCCAGGTTTGGTGGATGTCAGGAGAACGTTACCTACCGGAATGCAGAGCCAACAGTAGAGTTTGGTGGAGGAGGGATGATGAGCTGGGCTGTTCTCCAGGGTTTGGTCTCTCAGTTCCAGTGAAGGGTGATGTTGATGCTGCAGCACAAAGACATTTTACACAGTTCTCTGCTTCCAGCTTTGTGTCAGCAGTTTGGGGAAGAGCCTCTCCTGTTCCAGCATGACTGAGCCCCTGTGCTCAAAGCAGCTCCATAAAGACATGGAGTGACCAGTTTGGTGTGGAGGAACTCCAGTGGCCCTCACAGAGCCCTGACCTCAACCCCACTGAACACCTTTGGGATGATCTAGAACGGAGATTGTGAGCCAGGCCCTCTCGTCCAGCACCAGTGTCTGACCTCACAAATGCTCTTTTGACTGAATGGGCATAAATTCCCACAGACTCTCCAACATCTTGTAGAAGCTTCCCAGAAGAGTGGAAGCTGTTAGAGCTGCAAAGGGGGGATGAACTCCATATTAATGCCTGTGGATTTGGAACGGGAGAATTGGATTGGTATTTTAATGTAGTCGAGTGCAGTGAGAGGCTGCATTATCTACTAATATCAGATCGGATCAGTATCGTTAGATGTCTTTGGGTGGTGGTGGAGGGGGCCCGGCCATGTCTGCATGTAGAACTGTTGAAGTCTTTGTCCTCTTTGATTAGACAAGCTTCCTAAAATGAGACGAGCGCTCTCAGCCCTCCTCCACTCGGAGACCTGAGCTGTCAGTGTCCCAAAGCAATCAGGCTGGCCTCTCTGGTGTGTATGCAAAAATCCTCCCCGCTAGATTAGGCTGAAAGTGGATGTGGGTTTGTTTGAGGCCGGATGTGTGTGGGAGGGGGTCTGAAGGGCAGAGCAGGGAACTGCCTGGGAAGGCAAACATAATAGCAAGCTGGTTAACATCCCCCGTGATAGCGCCCCCCCCCCCCCTCTGTTTCACCCAAAACTAATGTTGTAATAATAGGAGATACCCTGCGGTCCAGACCGGAGCGCTGTCGTCGATGGGAACGAGCCTGGGCAGTCCAGTCCAGCCCGGGGCTTTGAATGGTGCTTAAGCGGATAGTTGAGGCTCCACTGAGGCAGTGAATATGTTTTCACATGCCTTTTTTTTTTTTTAAACAAACTCCCCCTGTTTAAGCAAGCAGTGTGCGCTGACAAGGCCGAGCACAGGCGGGTTCCCTTTGTGTTTGTGCGTGTGGGTGGGAGCAGGAATTTTGAGGGTTTTCTCTGTGAAGAACCCTCCGGAGGCTGATGTTTTGTTTGGAATGCCTGGCTAATACAGATAGAAACGTGCAGACGCTGGCGAGGTAGGCCTCATTGTCCTCCTGCGCACTGCAAGGTCAGCTGTAACCAGAGGTCAGCAGGGAAATATCTGCGAAGGCAGACCAATTTGAAGCTGCTTCTGCTGATGGAAAGGATACCTGCCCGTGTATTAGTGGCTCACTTCTTTGGCATAATTGATGTTGGTCGCCTGGAGCCTCGCGAACAGCAGAGGGGAGCAGAGACAGCCCTGCCCTGCCGGAGCACTTCACACAAACAATAGCGGCACTCACTCGGATGTGTTTGGCAGAAGAATTGTTTACTTAACCTGAGTGCACAGCCGGCATTACTCTTTCTCTTTTTAGTCCTGCATCCTTTATTTCCTGGATTACATCCCCTCATCTTCACCTGTCTATTTATTTATTTATCTGTTTATTTATTTGTCTGTCTGTTTGTTTGTTGTCTACCCCTCTCACTTTTTCCACTCCTTTTCTCACTACTAATTTGTTTGTATAAATTCACTTCCATAGGAATCCAGTTGTCCATTCAAAACACAACTAGGGGAAGGTAGGACACAGACCGCACGGTAAAATGTAAGATAAACAGCGGGGGGTAGTTTAATATGCTGTTAGAACAAAGACCCCCAATCAGAGAATCCTAAATGCACTCAAAATAGGACATTTGTCTGCATAGATTCATTAAAAAACACAAGCTATATACTTTTTCATTATAATAATACTTAATTTATATAAAAATAATGTATTATTTATGACTTAATTTCTATTTAAAAATAATTTTTATGCATATCCCTGCTATCGGAACAAAACCTTGTATCTCCAAAATGGTAACTGTACAGGAGAAGGAAAAGACCTACCTTTACATGTAAGTCAGTGGAGCCAGACTTTTCTCAAGTTATGTCAAAAACTGAAAAACGACAAAAATGGAGGTTTTGTTCCCAGAACAGCTTTATATTTTATCTACATTTGGAAAGCTTGTCTGGTTTGGAACGACATAGAAATGTATTGAATTAATTGTTTACTCTGATGTACCAGACGTTCTAGCTACTGTTGCAACTCAGTCTGTTATAGTTTACCCCACCTATGGGGCAAGTGGTACTGCACCTCTTTTGGCTGTATTCTTCATAAACAGTAGGAGGTGCTAACAGAGTTCATGCTTTTATTCGTAGCAGAGATTTAAAGGCTGATTGTGTAAAAATGAATGATCTTAAATCATTCATCTAAAATACATTCAGAGTGACTAAGCAAGTGAAGGGGTGTGTCCCGCTTGATTTTTTTGGGCTTTTGTGATTTTTTTAGATAAAAATAATTGAAACATGTTATTGCAGCTGTATAACTGTTACAGTGGAGAGACTTGATTACTCAAATCACAGAAATGCTCCATCAAAGATGGTTCTTCAGGGGTTCTTTATTAAAGGGAATGGCTCTATATAGAACAATGATCATGCAAATGGTTCCTTGGATGTTTATGGTTCTATATAGAACCATTCCCTCCATAAACAGAGATGGAGAATGTGTTGTATTTGGTTCTATATAGAACCAGAAAGGGTTCTTCTATTGTTATGATGTCAAGCTTGTAACAACAGAAGAACCCTCTTGATGCTAAGTAGAACCATTTTCACAAAGTTTCTTCATAAACCTATGGAGGCTCAAAGAATCATTTCCATGGTGAAATGGTTCTCCAGGTTGATGGAGAATGTGTTCTACTCGGCTCTATATAGAATCAAAAATGGTCCTGCTGCTGTTATGATGTCAAGCTTGTAACAGTAAAAGATCCATGTTTGATGCTATATAGAACCATTTTCACAAGGTTCTGTATAGAACCATATATAGTACGTTCTCCATCAATCTGGAGAGCCATTTCACCATGGAAAGAGACAATTAGCCATGCAAATGGTGAGATAGAATCACTGTTTGATTTAGTTTGATGACTGAGGTAAGAGTTACACTAATGCTAGCTTAGCCTGTAGCTCAGTGGCTAGGCTATCAGTTCAGATTGGATGACACCACAGGGATTCCCCAGAATTCCTGTGGTGTGACCCAATCAGGAATTGTGTTTCGTATTTGCATAATGTATGCTGGGTGTAGTAGTGAAAAAACTTTGATGAATGAAAACATGAAAATATAAATTGTGAATTTTGTCAAACAGGCTGATTAATATAATACTGTATAACACAAAAATAACATGTTAAACTGTAGCGGTGCAAACCTCACCCCCACAACCTGACCCCACTGATGATGCTGCTGCTGCTGCATGAACCAAACTAATCAAATTAATCATTTGCTCCACCTGTTTTCCCTGTTTTTGTACTATAATACTTTATACTAACAATGTTTACTATCCAGTGTGGTCCAGAGGAGGATGGGTTCCCCTTCTGAGTCTTGGTTCCTCTCAAGGTTTCTTCCTGTTTCTCTTAGGGAGTTTTTCCTTGCCACTGTCGCCACTGGCGACGCTCAGGGGGGCTCGGACCCGGATTTCTGTCTGTAATGTTGATTTCCTTGTAAAGCTGCTTTGTGACAACACCTGTTGTAAAAAGCTCTATATAAATAAACTTTGCTTGCTTGCTAGTTTTAGGCTTGAGTGCACTGTCACCAGGAGACTTCACTAAGGATGTGCAACATGGAACGATATCACAATATCTGAGCACAGTTTAATCACATTTAATCGTCCTGCTTTGCATTTGCACTTGTACCATTTTCTTAGAAAGTATATCTTCAAAACAGCTTCTGCTCTCTCTGTGTTTAGGGGCTGTTCAGAGCTGTACCGCATCCCCATGGTGGAGTACAAACTGGACAGTGAGGGCACGCCCTGCGAGTACAAGACCCCCTTCAGGAGGAACACCACCTGGCACCGGGTGCCCACCACCCCAGCAGGCCAGCCTCTACCAAGAGGGTCTCCCACGCAGTGCCCTGAGCGAGGCCAGTGCCAGCCCATCCTCCAGCACAGCCAGGCCTCCATCCCACGCAGTACATCCTTCGACAGGAAATTACCAGACAACTCCAGGTATTCCCACAGTCCTTTCTCCTGGTATTCCCACAGTCCTTTCTCCTGGTATTCCCACAGTCCTTTCTCCAGGTATTCCACAGTCCTTTCGCCAGGTATTCCCACAGTCCTTTCTCCAGTTATTCCCACAGTCCTTTCTCCAGGTATTCCCACAGTCCTTTCTCCAGGTATTCCCACAGTCCTTTCTCCAGGTATTCCACAGTCCTTTCTCCAGGTATTCCCACAGTCCTTTCTCCAGGTATTCCACAGTCCTTTCTCCAGGTATTCCCACAGTCCCTTCTCCAGTTATTCCCACAGTCCTTTCTCCAGGTATTCCCATAGCCCTTTCTCCAGGTATTCCCACAGTCTTGCCTCCACATATTCCCACTGCATTTCCTTCATGAATTCCCACAGTGCTTTTGTCAGGTGTTCCCACAGTCTTTCCTTGAAATATTCCCACAGTCTTTTATTACAAACTGGTCACTAATCCATTTCTTCAAAAATGTAATTTTTTTATTCTTTTTTTAACTGAATAATCCACTTCACTCAACTAATCATTACCACTCTGTGGCTTATTTAAAAGGTTCTCTTATGTATCTCAGAGTCATTTGACCGACCTACACTCATAGTAATAAATGAATGTCCTGTTCTCAGATGGACACCAGTGTTGACCCAGTTTTTTTGTTGCCCTTTCATATGTTGACTGCTGTTATTTTCCTTTGTGCCACACAAGTATAGATTTAAGGACAGCACAGAGGAAGCCTGCCTCCCTGCAGGAGCTCGGTAATGAGCAGGCCTGAGCCTTTCAGATGCAGTTTACTTTAACCCGGTGATTCTGTTTCCATTCCAAAGCCCCGTGTGGTGGTGATGACCTTTATCTAACTGCAGGCTCTGTGAGAGTCAGTGTGGAGGAGGGTACAGTAATAAAGGATTAATACTTCTGCTCTTCATCACTCATTCACACGCTCGCTCAGGAAAGCCCACCGCTAGTTAAACATTCAGCGGGGGGAGGGGGGGTTTCCTCTGAGATGGGTCTAAAGCACATATTACAGCTGTGTGACTGACCGAGGGAAACTGTATGTAAACTTGCATGTTGCCTGTAACGCTGGTGCTGAGAAAGGTACAGGTGTTAATTAGCACTAATTAAAATGTTGCAGCACTAGGTCTGGGCGATAGGACGATGTAATCAGATATGGTTGATGTTGGACAAGTAACCCAGTGGTGATGTGTGAAAGGAGATAATTGGCATTTTGGTAAAAGAATTGAGAGAATTAGAGACTAATTAACCGTTAAACAGCGTTAAACAAATATGTTTTGGGGTTCATGTTTAAGAATTGTGTGGGCAGAGAGAGAGAGAGAGAGAGAGAGAGGAGGAGAGAGGAGGAGAGAGACAGGGTGTTATTTCTCTCTGCTGTGCACTGTCATGCCTTTACTGCACAGATTACCCCTCATTTACTCTACAAGAATGGAATCGAAGAATTAATGCAGAGGTGTTTTGGATCTTCAGCTCGGCTTGAAGTGAGTCACTGCAGTAAAAAAACAAGCTAAAATGACTGTAGGTTAGCATAGAGCAGCCAAGTTAACTCTACCCTGGAGAGAAAGTTCCTCTGATCCTTATCAAATATGCGATATTATTGATAATCAGCATTTTTTAAACTGTTTTTGATCACCCAGGGCCAAGTAGCGCTGTTAATTAAAGTATTAATCGTCATTAGTAGAACAATTAACCATTTTATCTGTGATAAAACAGAAGTTGGTTTCATTTTTTGTTAATGTTTGTTTTGTGAAGTACAGTGTAGGTATCCTGTTATCAGCCATTTCAGAATGAAAAATCTGTAATCTAAGCTAACTGTAAATGATAAACACTTTACTCACCCAAATTAATGTTTTTTTAAAGAGAGATGTGTGTAGATTAATGTCTAAAACTCATTTTGACTTTGAAAGAAAATCAATAAATTAGTCATTAATGACGTTTTTGTTTACTTTAACGCTAATACCCATAACTCATCTTTCTGCTTAAAACAGTGTGTTGTGTTTACAGTGGTATCAAATGGAAATGGAAAAGGTTCCTGCAGTTTTGTACACACAGAAATACAGCATAGTTGCTGATGCTTAAATACTTTTTTGATTTCCCTCACAGCGATTGGTGAAGAGAAAGAGAGGAAATACACAGAGGTGACTGAAATCAGATGACGGTCAGTGTTGGGCGGACTGACCTACAGAATTCATTTTCTCAGCAATAATTCATTTTGCCTCAGCGCTATTAGCACAGTAAGGTTTTTGTGCATCATTAAAAGAGACAAGACCAGCACACGAACCCACACCAGCAGGAGCTCAAATGGTTTCAAATCGTGACTGAAAATAGTTTATTTTTTAAAGGTAAGGATCACAGAAAGGACAGAGGCTAAAGACAGTGAGACTTGGTCTCTTGTGTTCAGATTACCTGATGGACGACAGCTACTACACTGAGGAGATGGTTTGGGCGGCGGGGACTGTACGAGATACGCTGTAATGTTGATCAGGGCTTCCCTCTCCAGCTAATCCTCATATTCTGTGGTTTTAGATGGAGAATGAGAAATGAGAGAGAGGAAAAAAGAAAGATGGAGACTGAGAGAGAGAAGGAAAGCGAGAGAAAGGGGGTGAGCGAGAAAATGCGAGAGTTAGAGAGACAGAGAGAGCACACAAGAGAGAAAGAGGGAGATAGAGAGACTTGAAGAAAGAGAGAGACTCTGTTGGTGTTCTACATTTAAGGCAGTAGATGGGAGTGAGTGAGTCTGCCTTGGTTCTCCATTAAGGCAGTAGATGGTTAAGAGCAGAGTGAGGCAGTGTGAGGCTCTCTGGGGATTCAGCTCTGTGTTTCTGTCTGTGTGTTTTTCTCCCCGCCTCTGTAAACGAGGCCAACAGTGTGGATTCATTCACCACCATAACTTCATATTTCATTTTTAATGAATGTAAAGCAAAAAGAAGTAGAGCATCTCTCTCTCTCTCTCTCTCTCTCTCTCTCTCTCTCTCTCTCTCTCTCTCTCTCTCTGTAGGGCTCTACAGGACATGGAGAATCCTCAGATCTCCTGCAGTAAGGCAGAGGGCAGTCAGCACTACCGCAGCTCGCCCAGTAACCAGTCGTCCTCCAGTGATCCAGGACCGTGTGGGAGCGCCACCTGGAGCCAGCAGCCCGGATACGAGGGGTATGTCACACTCACCCGCCCACAGATACTGCTCCGAAATCTCTACACACTGATTTAGAGAGTCCATCCCTGAAACCAGGTGTAGACAGATTAGAGCTTCAGTCAGACCTGGAATTTTGGTCCAAACCTTCAGTAGAAACTTGACCTATTTTGTATATATTAAATTAATAAAACCATATTTATTAAAGAGTGTTCCAGCATTTTTCAACACTATATGGCCAAAAGTATATGGACACCTCTCCTATTTATGGAGTGCAGGTGTTTCATCCACACCTTTTGCTAACAGGCATATAAAATTAAGCACAGAGCCACAAAATCTCCATAGACAACCACTGATGAGCTCAGTGACTTTAAACATGGTGCTTCTCTTAGGATGCCACCTCTGTCACAAGTTAGTTTGTGGGATTTCTGTCCTGCTAGAGCTGCTCCAGCCAACTGTAAGTGCTATTATTATGAAATGGAGCAACAACAGCTCAGCCATGAGGTGGTAGACCATCTATCTGTTACATCACTCACTCCAGAGCTCCAACCTGCCTCTGGAAGCAACATCAGCCCAAGAACTGTGCATTAAGAGCTTCATGAAATGGCTGAGCAGCTGCACACAGGCCTAAGATCACTATGTGCAATGCCAAGCGTCGGCTGGAGGGGTGTAAAGCACCGCCAGTGGACTCTGGAGCAGTGGAACCGTGTTCTCTGGAGTGATGATTCAGCTTCTCTGTGTGTCAGTCTGATGATGAGTCTGGGTTTGGTGGATCTCAGGAGAACGTTACCTACCGGAATGCAGAGCCAGCAGTAAAGTTTGGTGGAGGGGGGATGATGGGCGGGGCTGTTCTCCAGGGTTTGGGCTCTCAGTTCCAGTGCTTTAGATTTCATCACCCCCAACTTAAACGCCCCCCCGCGTCCCTGCTTACATTAACACAACAGAAAAGCTGTTGGTGTAGAAATCTGACAGAATTTGTCTTCCTGCAGTTGCCAGTCTCCTGTACTGCACGAGCGCTCCTCTGAGACGCAGGGCATGCTGGGAGACGGTGACGGGCTGAGAGAGAGAGAGCCCACACTGGAGAGAGCGCGCTCTGCAGGTGAGACACAGTCACACATACACTGGGCTGCAGTCATGATTCTGGTCTCAAGTTATTTTCCCAACCAGCAGAATTACAGAACTGTCCTGAAAAAGGATCTTTATAGCACCAAAATGTGTTTGTCTTTTTATTATAAGAGTTTATTAAAGGGTTATTACAGCACCCGCCCACCAAGAGCTGTGAAGTTTGCAGAACTAAGTCACATATGATGTTCATATATACTGTAATGTTGTTCTTTACGTCATAATTCTGTCACAGCTAAAGTGGTGAAGGAGTTAAAGATTCAGTGCGCTGTTTCAGGATTTGTGAGCTCTGATTGGGGACGAGCAAAATGATGCTTTAAACCTATTGTGATGAATGTTTTTGTGAGTGTATCATGGGAAGCACTTTTTAGAACACTGAACTTCATGTGTCATAAAGCGATCACTTACCGAGAGCCTGTAAACAACAACAACAACCAGGTAAACAACTACAGAAACCGCATAGTAACAAGTAGCTGACTCAGTGACTTGTGAAGTGAAATGATCTTAAATCTAGTCGAGATAACTGATATTTCTCATGCTGAGATTGTTATAAGCTTATTGCTTATCATTTAGTTATTATTAGACCTTTGCTTGTTTTAAGTGATTTTAGTAAGTGGAATTATCTCTTCTATCTATCTATCTATCTATCCATATATATATATATATATATAGATAGATAGATAGATATATAGGCAGGTAAGTTTGCTTTTTTCAAACAGATTCCTTACAAACAAGCAGCATTAAATGAGATCATTTTGCCACCTGAAATCACTTAAAATAAGTCAAAAAATCTTGAAATAAGTTAATCTCATAATGAGCAGACAGACGTCTCAGAAAAAAGAGGAATATGTGCTACATTTACGCTCGTTTCACTGTGCTACACTGCAAAAAAATGGTATCTTGTCAAGTAAAATTATATTAAATAAATAAGTCAATAAATCTAATAATTTTCCCGCTCAGGTTGTTGTGCGCTTAATTAAAGATTATTTACTTTATTTGTAGGCATTTTTACTTGATTTAAGTAATTTTTAGTAAAATTGTTTCACTATATTGGCAGATAATTTTGCTTGTTTTAAGAAATGAGCTTGAAACCAGCAAAATTATCTGTCACTATGGTGTGATAATTTTATGTAATAAAATTACTTAAAACAAGTAAATAATGTCTAGAAATAAGTTAGATAATCTTATAATAAGTGGACAACCATCTCAAAATGGGAAATATTAGACATATCGACTAGATGTAAGATCATTTCACCTGACAAGGTGCCATATTTTGCAGTGTATTCGTTTATTTTTGACTGATTGTTTGATGCTTTTCCTCTTGTTCCTTATTAAAGATTTTGCAGGTGTATTTTTCTGTTCTCAAAGCTCTGTGAAGCTGAATGTGGTGATGAACACTGTGTATTGTGAAAAAGCCTTCAGGTGTCTTGATGTTACACTTTTGTCCTCGCGCCCGGCCTCAGCGCTAAAGGTCAACTGCTATTAATACATCACATGTCTGCAGTCTTGCTCTGGGCTCTCAGGCTCACTGTCATCTTTCATGCTCTTCCCTCTTTAGAGGCCAAGTGGCACATGCCCTCCACCAAGATCCTCAACTCCCTGAAAGAGAGAGGCAAGGACTCGCCCAACAAGCTGACCCGGGTGAGTCTCCTTCTGGCACCGGCTGTAAACTCTGCTGTGGCCTCTGTTACAGTCTCTGTGTGTGAATGGATACACATGCAGATCTATACAGATGAGTTATTTAATTCCCAGCCAAAATAGACAGTAACCCTCTGTGGTCTGAGGTCGTTCTCTCGATTTGTTCATCTCTTCCTAAACTCTCCTTTATTTAACTCTCTCTATATTTTTTCTCCTCATATGTTTCATATCTAAATGCTCCGTTATCTTCATCACTACTTTCCAAAACCGCTGCAGCAGCTTCAGCAGCTGTAAACTCTCTGCACGCCATTTCACATGAGTCTCCGATGTGGACTGAATGAAGAATGAAGGGTTTCCGGCGTGATGGTCAGTTCTTAGTGATTTCCTGTGTGTCCATTGGTCAGTTTCACACAGAATGTAGACGGACACACCAATCCACCAGCTCCACACGGAAGATGATGTGTATCTCAGCCCCTCTTCATAGGCTCATAACTCCGGATGTGAGTCTCGTAAGATCTCGAGATAAGATGGAATGGAAAGGGCGACTCTACAGATTCAGGAAGTGTTTGAACTGGATTTCTGAGCTGGATCATCACAAAGATACAGACACAGATATAGAGACAGAGGATTTGACCCCAGAGGGTTAAATACGAGTTATTCATTTTTCCTCATCAGAAAACATGTTTAAGAGAAAATCACACAAAACCTCGCCAGCTAACTCTAATCTCCGCTGTGTGAGTCAGTGAGTCACTCTTCACCTTTATTCCAGCTTCCATTCTTTTCAGGAGACTCACTTTCAGCTCCTCAAAGAATCTGCAGACACGCCTCCAAAGTTCAGTCTTAGAAGCTGGTTGATCATTTTCTGCTTCTCACCATCCGAGTACGTGTTAATCATCTCAGCAGGTTTGCTTGGTTGTTTTCTTGCTGTAAAATTTGTTTCTTGCTACATTTTCCACAGATGTTTAATTAAAATTGATGGGGCTGTATGCAAAAGTTTGAACACCCCTGAGGAGATCACACGTTATTGATTGTTGAAGTGTAAATAAGTGTACATATCTTCTACAGAGACACACTGAGAGATGACATTTTCCTGTAAATCTGTTTATTTATATTTATTTGCTGTGTTTAACATATTTAAAAATAAAACATGTATAAATGTGTCATAACTTTTGTACAAGGCACTTTTTTTCTTGCAGCAATCTCACAATGAAAAGTATAAGATATATTGACTAGATTTAATATATCTTAACAAAATTATCATTTTTGCAGAATGATATTTCTCATGCTGAGATTATTGTTAGCTTATTATAAGATTATTTCAGTACTTTCTAGATATTCCTAAATTTGTCATTTTATATAGTAAACCTGTCACTGTATAGCTCAGATAATTTTGCTTATTTTGCTCGACACAAAAAATGTCTGCCAGTACAGTGAGATCATTTCACTTAATGAAGTTAATAAGCACATACACAGTAATTACCCAGTAAATGTATTAATTGTGTTCTCTGTAGAGGATGTATTAACTTATTTACACTCAGAAAATCAACAACAGGGAACTTGTCTGGTGCTTGACTGATGGTTCTAAGAGTCTTATTTGCGTTGACGGTGTTCATACCGCACTCAGATCGGTTATGTCTGGTTCTGTGCTTTTGCAGTCGCTGCTCTGAGGCTGTGGAACAGCCTAACTTTAAATAATAGAAATTTCTCATCTCTTACCGTTTTCATATCAAGACTGAAAACAAGTCCAAGTGTCTAGAAATGAGCTAAAGAGTCATATAATATTCTCGCAACAATCTTATAATGAGAAAAATTAGATATCTTTGTTAGATTTAAGGTGTTTTCAGGCGCTAAGATATCAGAGCTTTACAAATAAAAAACATACTTCTGTTTTCAGAGATCTCAGATTTAGACTCACTCCAGTGCAGATGTTCTCCTCTGTCTCCTTTTCTCAGTGAGGTTTTCCTGACCGCTACACATCCTTTTAGACCCATTGTGGTTCTCCTTCCTTATGCAAGTGGACTGTCTCATATCTAATCTCACACATATCTCCTGAAAAATCAATAACATGACCTTAATGGCTGTTTTTACTAGAAATGAAAAGGCTGAATGGTGGTCTATGACTGTTATTGGTGTGCGGTGTACTTCAAAATTGAGTTCCTCAAACTTGAAGAAGTTTTTTATTTTATTGAAAACAGTTTTTCCAAACCTTTGAAAATTAGTGTACACACATCCCTCCACTCCCCCCAGTCTGGCTGTCAGTGCGTATCGGCCTCACTGTGATGAATGAATGGAGATAAGGTCATCCTGCCCTTGGTGCTGCTGTTCGGTTGTGCTATCGGAGCAAATCTACAGTCTACGCTGGTGTCAGGCGGCAATATTTCAGTCACTGGCTCGCCTTAATGTAAGGTGCTCGTACAGCCCATCTGTTACTTTCTTTGTCTTTCTGCAGGTGACGAGTTCAGAACCCGGTGCCGGGGGGTTCAGAGGCTTGGACAGGGAAAGAAATAATTGCTATAGAATGATTCAGTTCATTGAAATACAATACAAGGCATTTTAAAAATGACTGCTTTCCAGGACGTAATGGTTAAAAACCTATTGCTTACCATAGCAAGGTCAAAGGTCAGTGGGTACAAACTTTGGCTGTGTAAAATCTGTGTTAAATCTGCTGAAGTTATCGTAGATAGAGGTCATTCTAAAAGCTCCCCCTCAGTCTGCTGAAAGGCCTGCACTGACTGCATAAGGCGTGCTGTGCTTGGGCCCCGATGATTGCCACTTGCAATGCAGTGTGTAGCGTTGGGTTACACACCTCTGGTCCCGGTGTTCAGCACAGTTTGGTGATTTACCTGTTCAAACACACCTGATTACACTCCTCTGTTAACTGCCAGGTTTAGTGGGTGTGTTTGAGTAGGGACACTGCCAGACTGTGCTGGACGCTGGCCATCCAGGACCCGAGTTCTGCACCCCTGTTGTAGACAGTCGTTTGGCTCTTAAGAGACAGTCCACATAAATCAACCTGTTCTACATCAGTTTAAACAAAACTGAAGCTCTAGCTGCTTGTCTTGGTTGTGAATGATGATAATTTATACACTGCAAAAATTAGTATTTTGACAAGTGAAATGATCGTAAATGTAGTCAGTAGATCTAAAAGTTCTGATTTAAGACTGTTGTAAGCTAATTCAAGTCAAGTCGAGAGTCAAGAGGCTTTTATTGTCATTCCATCTATGTACAGTACACAGTGGAGCGAAATTACGTTCCTCCAGGAACAACAACCTGCAACAAGGAACAAAAGTACAAAAGTACAAAATTACAAAGTGCGAATGTGCAGACAGTGCAAACAAAAATTAAGCTAGAAAACAAATACATACAATAAATTAAACAGACATTAGACACAGTAAACAGACCGGACAGTGTAGCACCGACACAGCACAGATTTCTGGACATGAGGTAGTGGAATAAGGTGCAGACATATTTGACGTGATGTGATCTGTAAGTTACGTCAGATAACATATATAAACACAGCAGTTACTGAGGTAGTAAAACAATTACAATTACTGAGGTAGTAAAACAGTTACTGAGGTAGTAAAACAGTTACTGAGGTAGTAAAACAGTTACTGAGGTAGGTACTGAGATAATTATATCTTAAAATCAGCAAAATTATTTTCATAATTTCTCGAAACAAGTAAAATGAACTGCCAATGAAAAAAATGCACTAACAAGATACAGTTACTGAAATCATAAGAAATGTCTAGAAAAGTTTAAATATCTGAAAAAAAGGTGAATAATCTTACATTATTCCTGCAACGATCTCACAATGAGAAATATTAGATATATTGACCATATCTGAGATGTTGTCACTTGATAGATTATAGATTTAGGAACATTTCACTTGCCATTTTTTGCAGAGCACATATTTACATTTCCCTCCCAACATTCAAAAGCTGTCAGAGAAAGAAAACGAACCCAACGTCATGGGTCTGTAAACTTTTTCACGTGTCTAAATCTCTGAGTCTGCTGCTAGAGGAGGGGTTCTTCCTCAGAACTCCTCCAGTCTACACCATCCACATGAGGGGCGTGTTCGATCAGTCAGTGTTGTGCTCGTAGGTGGTGGGTGACAGCAGGGGGGCACTTAAGCAGCGAATCAGATTTTTACCAGGGCCCGTACCCCTGTAGCCGTACCCCTGTAGCCGTACCCCTGTAGCCCCACCCCTGGATCCGCCCATGTGGTTGAGCCTGTATTACAGCCCATCACATGATGAATGAGGGGACGGAGAGCAGCGAGCAGCAGAAGCGTCTCTGTGAGCCGCTGTAGTGAGTGCAGTGAGTGAAGTATCGAGGCGTGCCTGTCGTCCTGCACTGTCTGCTCATGATTCATTATAGAACGTGCTTTTGAACTCCATGAATAATGAACGCTCCTCCTCCGTAGCAGATCGAGGAGGCGCTGCACACCGCGCTCGCTAAATGACCACTTTCAGCCATCGACCCGCTTTTACCCTCCTCTCTGAAACGCTGTCCTCCTCATCTCTCCGACTCTGAAACGCTGCAGGCTGCGCTCTGCGAGATCTCTGAGGATCTGCTGTCTTTCGTCTGCACTGTAATTACTAAAGGCACTGGAAATTTGCATACATTACCAATCGCAGATTTGCTTATTATCTGGCAGTAATTAGTCGTGCTGGACTGCGGGGCGGCAGCATGTGGTGTAAATACAGAGAGACGTGCTGGTGAGTTGGGCTAATCAAGCTGCTGCAAACTGTCAAAAAGAATGTTTCGCTGTAAACGAGCCAGATTTGCCCTTAATCATCTCCGGATGTGAGCAGTATATTTCAGCACGAGTTATGAGTTATGAGTTATGAGTTATGTAATATGTTAATGCCACCGCAGGAAATCTCAAAACTGATAAATACATTACAATATATTTTAAACAAACGTTTTGTTGGTTTTTAGAAAAAAGATGTATTCATGAGCACTGAGTACATGTTACTATGGAAATTTACACCCCCCCCCCACCACCACCCCCACCTTGAACCTGAAATTTTCACTAGTACCAGTTGTTCATGAGGAAGCATCCGAACTATGTCCCTATACTACTGAGTGACAGAAGGGGGCGTCTGTCCTAGCCAGTAATTTTAGATATGTTTCCTAGCTACACACTTCAAAAAGATGGTTCTTTGGTAAAGAAAATATATATGATATCTGCATAGAACCATGAGCACACAAAGAACCCTTTGCATGATTAAATGGTTCTTTGCATGGTGAAATCGTTCTTCAGATTGATGGAGATTGTGCTGTAGATGGTTCTATACAGAACTGTTTTCAAAAAGATTCAAAATAGAATCAAAAAGGGTTCTTCTGTTGTTACAAGCTTGAAATCATAAGAGTGGCAGAACCATTTCGGTGCTATATAGATCCATCTATAGCAATCTGCAATTTGAAGAACCTTTCATGATGCAAAGAACCCTTAAATTTGCAACCATTTTCTTTACTAAAGAACCCTTGAAGAGCCATCTCCTCTAAGAGTGTAGGAGTAAGAGTTCTACTAATTTCCTGAGCTAAACATTTCCAAAATCTAAAAACATGTTTACACTTTATCAGTATCACTGCTGATAAATGTGATCTAGATAATCTAGATAATATCTTGTATTTGTGTTTACTCTCTTGCCCCTTTCTGGTGATCTGAAGATGGTTATTGCAGATAAACGGCTGCAGTAAGATATTCAGCTCTCTAGCAGGAACGTTAGATCACTGCATTCATTAACTAACAGAAAAAACAGCTTCCAGAAATCCACCAAGAGCTGTTTGTTTTTCAAAAGCTCCTCCTAACATCTTGTTTTTTGCTTAATATTTTGAAAACTATCTCTGATACAGTAGGAAAGTCCAGCTCCTACCGTTTATGAACAGTTCAGCTGAAAGAGCAAACATCACAACCTCCCCCACAGGTGAGGCTGACTAACAGACTGGGGGGAAATTGTACCCATAGCTAAAATGGTAACGGGCACAAAGCACAGTTAATTTACTGCAGTTTAAATGCTGGACGCAGAGTTCAGGTTTGTTATTTTTCTCTCCAAACAAGCACAAACCAAAGCTAAGCTGGCCACTCTTCAGTGGCTTCAAACTGGACTTTTCGGTCCTTTTCTCACTCGAGCTTTCCAGTTCTTCAGTCTGTTGCTGCTGCTCGTCCCTCTCTCTCTGTTCCTTCTCTGCCCCGCCTCCGTCGCTGCCCCCGCTCTCCGGCTTGGCCACCAGGATCGAACGTGAGGCAGATTAAAGTGGCTGTGCTGCAGGACCGGAGGCGGTGCCCAGGAGACAGGGCTCGAGACTCGAGGCCTTCCTCAACCAACTCGCAGATCTCCTCTCCCCACCATCCTCTGGGGCTTCATCCTCACTTTAGTTCGGGCCCCACCTTCCTGCTGGCCAGGGGATGGCCGCACGTGTCAAAACTAAATATAAAAATATATTTAGCATAATATTTTACGAAAAGATATCTTTATTCTATTTTTGACCACAAAGTAGAAGAGCATAGTATGTTTTTGATAAATCTGTAAATGAAATCTTGAACAGTCGTATATGGGAGATATGGAGATGGAGATTGTGTACTTTGGGGTCTGAGCTGTAACAGTGTGTTAAACTAACCCCCCCGTGTGAAGGCTGTACTTTAGCCTGGCTCTCACTGTGAGCTGTTTATCTGCTTTAGTCCAACCCTAAACCAGCTGTAGCTGTTCAGTGGTTCCTCCCACCTTGGAGATACATCATTAGTGCTTTTCTAGCCGTAACTCTCACTCTCGACACTATTGCAGCGCCGCTGTTGGAGGACAGGAGGCGTGTTTACTGATATATCCATTACATTTCGGCTGGAATTTTCCTTTAACCTGGATGTTTGTGTGTGTGTGTGTGTGTGTGTGTGTGTGTGTGTGTGTGTGTGTCCATCAGGGTGGAGATAAGAACTCCAGCCACTCCAGCAGCAACACTCTGTCCAGCAGTGCCTCCAGCAGTAACAGCGATGAGAAGCACTTTGGATCCGGTGACCTGATGGACCCGGAGATGCTCGGCCTCACGTACATCAAAGGAGCCTCCACGGACAGCGGAATAGACACTGCACCGTGCTGCGCCCCCCCTCCGCCTCCGGGCGTGGCCTCCGCCGGCGTGGCCCGCATGGTGCTGCAGGGTCGGGGGGCGGTGGAGCAGGGACACTCCTGGACGCCGGAGCATCCAGAGGACGGAGGAGCAGACGAGGAGCACGCCAAGCTGTACCTGCCCCAGAGCTACGCCGCGGCGCTGGCAGTCGGACACGCGGCCACCGACAGCAGCGTGGGAGATCTGAGCGAGATCCCCACACACTCCAGGTGAGGGAGCGAGACGGCAGCTTAGGCTGGAGTCAAAGGTACAAACTGTGACTGAGGGGTCAGTAGCGTCAGATCACTGAGTTGTTTTTGTCAGTGTTAATGGGGGAAATAGGAAGTGGCCAGGCTCCCCTTAAACCGGCTCTGACGGCAGGGCTGACAAAACGTAGCGAATCATTAATTCAAATAAAGACAGTGGTGCGCTGAACGCTGAGTTACGCAAGCTTTGCACCTACAGCAGCTGAGAAGGCTGTTCTCCATCAAACACACAACACTGCCACAACAATGTCTACTTTCTTACAACGCTGCTGCAAAGGTGGCGCTGTGTATGTTTGTCTCAACAAGCTTGTCACAATGTTATCACAACCTCGTTATTAAATAACGTTGCCATATGGTATTATGACTACTTACTGGCAGCTTCGCAGAATTCTGTGGAACTTACGAGGATTTTAGGAGGTTGTGGCAACATACTGACAGCATTGCCACTACAGTGTCACAGTGTTGTCAGATAACGTTGTGACAACTTTCTGAGGAGTTATATTTAAACGTTGGGGGCACCAAAACAACAGGTTGTCACAACGGAAGTGTTTGCTTGGCGTTCTTTTTGAAGAATTTACTGATTAAACGAATTTTAATGCCCATTTAAAACTTCAAAACACGTCTTCTGATGTCTTCAGTTGTTGCGTACGCCCAGCTGCAGTGGCTGCATTGGTAGAGGACTTTATTAGAGTTCGTTGTGTGTGCTGCCTCACAACGAACTCCTCTGACACGCCCATCAAATGAGAGAAAATACACCTTAAAGCTCACAGCACACCGTTTCACACTGTTTCACACCGTTTTGAAGAAACACGTTTAGCTTGGAAACCGTAGCAAAACGGTGCACAGCGTTTTGAGGTTGAACGCACCCCACCTGAGGAGGCTGGTGATTCCAGGGTCCGTATCTCTGGTTCCTTTAAGGCTAGCAATGCGATCCAGGGCTCGTTGGAAAAGTCACACTGTACTGACCTGTGGAGTTTGGCTTCCTCTCAGATTTTTAAAGTCAGGTTTAGTTGTGCTTAGTAGTGCTGTTCTCCGCTCTGGACTGGTCAGTGGTTCTCAGCAATCCGGCAGCCCATTGGCCCACAGCTCCAAACGCAGCTCCTCACCAGAGTGGTCCAGACCCGGAGCTCATACGGCCGCCTGCTGCAGGAGAGCAGAGGACCGACCCGACCCAGAGCAGCCCCCAAACCTGCCCGAGTGTGGGTGAGTGCAGCGCCAATGGGTTCACAGCCCTCCCCTCCTCTCCCTCCAAGAGAGGAAATCAGCTGACTGTGAGGCCTTAACAGGAAGTGCAGGTGTTGAGTCAGTTTGTTGAGAAGATCAGGGCCAGATGGACTCTGTCATACTGAAGTACAGAGGAGAATATTTCAGATTAAACTCCTTTTATTAGGATTAGGAATTAAACAGTAAATTGCACAAAATTCTGTGAACACTGGGCCTCGTTTACTAACCAGAACATTTCTTCTAAAGACATTCTTCAAACCCACTTACACAGAAAACAACAAATGATGGAACAAAACAGGCCTCTGAGGTCGTGTGTCACTCTGTGGTCTGCGTGTCTGTGTGAGGAACTCTGGATCTGAGCTGAATTTTCTATGAGAATAATGAACATTTTCAAAATCGCTGCTATTGCAGCCTCTGCAGTAATAAACAAACCCTGATATGTTCTGTCCTGTGCACGTTTCCACCGAGTGTCACTGGATCCTCTTACAGGGTCATTAAGGAGTCAGAATATGAATAATGCTGTAAGTGAGCTGAAATGACAGTGAAAGTCAGTCTACTGTTAAACGTCAACACTGCCACCACCAACGCCGGCTCCTCAAACTGCAGGATAAAACTGACAGACACCCTAAACCGCCACGCTGGACAGAGTAGCTAGAGTGTTTTGGTGAGGTCAGTCTTATGATGTTAGTTCAGTGCGCAGCAGTGTTACCACACATGTACCAATAGTCATATTTTGACTCCTTAACAACCTCGTAGGCCAGAGGATCTGGCAACGTTTGGAGGAAAAATCTTTGTACAGTAAATCGTCTCAGCTTTGGAAGATTTTTTTGTTTACAATAAAATGAGAGCAGCGATTTTTCCCTTAGAGATAAACAGCTTAGACCCGGAGTTCCTAATATGGGCTTAGCTACCCTCTTAAAAAAAGAAGGTTCTTTAAGGGTTCTTAGTAAAAGGTATGTTTCTTTTTAGAACCATCACTTCTATACACCTTTAAATAGATGGTTCTTCAAGGGTTCTTTAGAAAAGGCAATGTTTCATGCTTAAATGGTTCTCTGCATCTGTATAGAACATTTTTGAAAAGGGAACACTCAACGTCATTCCCTGCTCTGACATCCGACTTTTGAGGATTTTGAGGTTGGGTTGGCGAGGCTACCTCGAGTTCCTACACTCTTAAAAAAGATGGTTATTCAAGAGTTCTTTAGTAAAGAAAACGATGTGCATGGTCCTTAATAGAACCTTTTTGAAAAGCATCTTTCTATTGTTATGATACATTGTTACAATAGAAGAACCCTTTTGGTGCTATATAGAACCCTTTTCAAAAAGATTCTATATAGAACCATATACAGAGAACCATTTCATCATGCAAAGAACACTTTAATCATGCAAAGCGTTCTTTGTGTTGATGGTTCTATATAGAAACATTTTCTTTACTGATGAACCCTTGAAGAACCATCTTTTTGAGAGTGGGAAATCCGAGTTTTGGGGTCGTTCCTTTTGAAACCTCCTACTGGGAACTCAGACATTCCGACTCCCCAGTTGAAACGGAATGCACCAGGAGAACCAGCTGGGGATGAAAGTTCTCTCCTTCGGTTCTCCTCCCGATGAAAAGAACGCCGGCTCAGTAACAGCAGAGCTGCTGGACTCTGAGCCGGTCGACCAGCTGCAGCTGCTCCTGATTGAAGCAGACAGTTCAGCTCCAGCCTAAATCAGCTCCGTAACACGCCACACAATGACTGTCACTTCCTGTTATTGATGGGCTCTGATAGCCTCAGGCTCAGTGACCTGTCCTCCACTGGGCAGTCCTACCTGCCTCGCTTTAGCGGGTTTACTGTGGACAGACTATAGAAACTCAAACTGATCTCAGAATGTTTTCCATTTTCTCAACAATAAGGAAACAGCAGTGTACCAGAAATGAGCATTATCGTTATTATCATTATTATTATTATCACAAATTCTTTGTTTCACTTCTTGTATGCCACTCTTAAAAAGATGGTTCTTCAAGGGTTCTTTAGTAATGACAGTGGTTTTATATAGAACCATGAACACTCTGGTTCTCTGCATAGTAAAACGGTTCTTCAGACTGACCCTTTTTAAAAGGGTTCTATACAGCACCAAGAAGAGTTCTTCTATTGTAACAAGCTTGACATTGTAGCAATAAAAGAACCCTTTTTGGTGCTATATAGAACCATCTACAACACATTCTCCATCAGTCTGAAGAACCATTTCAACATGCAGAGAACCATTTAAGCATGCAAATGGTTCTTTGAGTGTTGATTATTCTACATAGAACTTTTTTCTTGACTAAAGAACCCTTGAAGAACCATCCTTTTTTAAGAGAGTAGGATTTTTTCAGGTGGGGCCATAAAGGGGCCACAGTTCGTAAAATTCTAAGAGCTCCTTAATTGGCTGTGATTTCTATATAATATATTTGTGTACATTATTCACATCACACAGATATACTTTGTTATCTTGAGATCACAAGATATTTAACTCATTATCTCATTATAACAACTTTATCTTGAGATCACAAGATATTTAACTAATTATCTCATTATAACAACTTTATCTTGATCACAAGATAGTTAACTTGTTATCTCAAGATAACAATCCAAAAAATTATAGCAACAGCTCATGGCCTCTCCGGACTTCCGTAGTTTTCCCACATGCTCAGACTGAGAGAACCGAAAGAAAGAGAGAACGTGAGAGTTTAGATGCACTGAAGAACCCCATTACTGAGCTCAGATCCAGCTTCTTTATCAGATTTACTAATCAGATTTATAGACCTTAATCTGATTTAGGAAATCAGAGTGCATGTTTACACAACCACTTAATCAGATCACTGCAGGAACCTGATAATGATCGGATTGTTGATTGTCTGATGGTTTCCTAATGGGATCTAAAGGTGTTCTAGCGTTCTCTAACGATAAGCCTTTTCCAATTAGAAAGCAAAACGACCCGGTTCCAGTCCAAGTGGTTCTAACGGTCTTTTCCAGCAGGGCAGACAGAGGGATTGAGAGCAGGGAGGAGGAGCGCTCGTGTGTGAGGCTCTGGTGTCCGGCTGCTCGGTGATCCGGCTGTGTGCGGTGCCGGTTAAGCGCTGTGTGATTGATTATGGGCTCTGAATTGTTTTTCCAGTGTTATGAAAAAGGCCTGTAATGCAGTTACGCCTTCATTGTTTTCTCTCTTATGTACCATGTTATGTAACTGTGCCTCCAGACAGCCGACCCAATATCGTTCACAGTTATTGTCCTCCCCTACTGAAGCCCCCCCTCCACCCCACCCCCCCACGTTTGTTTTTTTCATTACACTGTATAAATCTAACTGTATCAAAGCTGCTGATTAATTAACTCTCGTTTGCTTATTTTTCTGCTTTTCTTCGGCTTCAGAGGAGCTGAGCGCTTGTTGTCTTTGCTACTAAAGACTCTGTCCGAGAGGTCCAGGTACACCTTAACCCCCCGTGGTCTACTGTGTTTTCCTCTCTGTCCCTGTGGTGACCTTTACCCTCTGACCCCTGACCTCACACCCCTGTTCACTGAACCGTTGTTGTGTGCTGTGATTCAGCTCTGACTCAGTGAGCGTGACTTTTCACTGAAGTCGGGATCCACACCTCGCCCCCCCCCCGCCAGCGCTGTTTCCACGCCTGCCGTTTGTCAGCTCTGGACTTCGCCCTCAGCTGTCTCTCTCTCTCTCTCTCTCTCACCGTGCATTCTCCAACACTCTCTCACCCACACGCACACCGTATACCAGCCGAGGTCGGGGGTCAGTGTGCGTGCGGTGGTGCCAGACGAGGAGAGACGTGCTAACGCTAAACGGAGCCCACGGCCACAGAGTGGATTTCAGCGTCACCTCTCTGTAACACACACAGTCAGGGCTCATACAGCGTTGATGTGCTCTGTGAATGCAGGGCTGTCCTTCAGATCCTTACAGTGTGGGTGATATATATCTGATAGATGGGGACTCGAGTCAGTGGCTCACTCAGTCCGTATGTTGACTGACTCATGACTTGATTCGGACTCACACCTCAGAAACTCAGGCTTGGATTTGCAGCCCAGAGTCCCGACTTACCACACCTCAGAGACTCGTGACTCCAGACTCGACTCGACTCGGACTCGCACCTCAGAGACTCGAGACTAGACTTGGACTTGAACCTCAGAGGCTTAAGACTCAACTCAGACTCTCACCTCAGAGGCTCAAGACGCAACTCAGACTCGCACCTCAGAGACTTGAGACTAGACTCGGACTTGAACCTCAGACACTCAAAACTCGACTTGGACTCGCACCTTAGAGACTCGACTCGGACTCACACTTGAGAGACTCGAGACTGAACTCAGTCTCGCACCTCAGAGAGTTGAGGTCCAGAGACAAGGTTTTGTGTTATGTAATAACAGCTAGTCAAATTGGCCACTTCAAGCTTTGACTTTAATAGCTGCAAACGCTGAACAGAAAGACTCGTGATCTAGATATCAGTATTGTCCTTAGCTGTATTGAGGTGGTCGTATTGAGGTGGTCGTGTTGAGGTGCTCGTATTGAGGTGGTCGTATTAAGGTGGTCGTATTGAGGTGCTCGTATTGAGGTGCTCGTATTGAGGTGCTGTATTGAGGTGCTCGTATTGAGGTGCTGTATTAAGGTGGTCGTATTGAGGTGGTCGTATTAAGGTGGTCGTATTGAGGTGGTCGTATTGAGGTGGTCGTATTAAGGTGCTCGTATTGAGGTGCTCGTATTGAGGTGCTGTATTAAGGTGGTCGTATTGAGGTGCTCGTATTGAGGTGGTCGTATTGAGGTGGTCGTATTGAGGTGCTGTATTGAGGTGCTCGTACTGAGGTGCTCGTATTGAGGTGCTCGTATTGAGGTGCTCGTATTGAGGTGGTCGTATTGAGGTGCTGTATTGAGGTGCTCGTATTGAGGTGCTCGTATTGAGGTGCTGTATTGAGGTGCTCGTATTGAGGTGCTCGTATTGAGGTGCTCGTATTGAGGTGGTCGTATTGAGGTGGTCGTATTGAGGTGCTCGTATTGAGGTGCTGTATTGAGGTGCTGTATTGAGGTGCTCGTATTGAGGTGCTCGTACTGAGGTGCTCGTATTGAGGTGCTCGTATTGAGGTGCTCGTATCCAGGTCGGCACTGATACAGTACCGCATCTGCGACACTGTTTGTAATAAACACATAAATTGCCCAATTAAGCCAGTGAAAATCCCGAGTGGATGAAATCAGGAGTTCGTCGGGGCCGTTACTGAGGCTTTTACAGCAGACTGCAGTGTACAGTGGGGTTTGGGTGCAGGCTGGGGTTCCGTCCTGACTCCGAGTTTGTCGGTGTGTGTTTGTGCGTGAGCCCTGACAGCGTTCTAACACCCTGCCAACACCACTCAGTGACACCCCACTCACACACTCCTCCACGACTGCTCACTTAAAGTGGGGCTGCAGTTACAGCAGGGTCAGCGCTCTGGACTCTCTCACCCTCACTGCTCCTCCTTCACGCTGGAGGTTCCTGCTCCAGAGGGCTGCAGTCATCTGAACAATGAATGTTAGTGTTGTGTAGTTTTACATTGTTTAGTATTTAAAAGTGAAATCAAATCGTGTGGCTGGTTCAAGACGTCTCAGCATAAAAACAAAGTTTACTGTCACCTTCTGTCAAAAGTGTTGACTTGAAACGCTGTGCGTTTTTGTTTGATAGACAGTAAGAAAATCATGTTTATGCGTGTATAAAAGAGTACAGAATGGAATGAGGCTGCTGTTGCATTTAATGAATCTGAATCATTTTTCATCTTTTTTTTTTAATGTTTTGTATGTTTTTGGTCCTGTGTGTTCGTATAGTATGTCAAAGTGAGAAAATAAGTGTCAGGTCTTATAGGTGATGTTGTGGGAGGAGAAAAAAGATACCAAACATTGGCATGTATGGTAAACATTCTTAATGTGGTAGAAAAAGGCAAAATCAAGAATATTCAAAAACAGCCAAAATAGTCCCAGACTAATAAGGGTTAAATCTACTGTCGTCTATTGCAGCGGTTTCCAGTCTTAGTCTGATTCAAGCTAGAGTTTAGAGTGAGGAGGACAAAAAAGCTTTGTTTGATTGTTTTCTTCATGTGAATCAGTGACAGCAATACTGTGTTACTAGAAAACAGTACATTAACAGTCACATGGCAGATCGTACTGGCTTTAGAATCATCAGGGGTGATTCAGTAGTTGGTAATTGATAGGATAGATGGCTGTAATTTACTGTACTGCTGAAGTCGCTTCTGCAGCCTGTTCGTTGTTCTTTTGCGTGGTATTAAAAAGGCTCACTGCCATGTGACCAGTCAGCTGAAATTGGCATCGTACCCTTGAGACAACAAAAACTCAGCAGAGAGAAAGAAAAATCCATTAGATTAGTCTGTCATTTCAGAACACTCCGCTGAGCTCTGCGTCAGGCCCGAGAGACGCAAAGTCAACAGATGGATGATCCAATTAAAGCACATTTTACTGTGTTTTAGTTAAAACCGGAGTGAGGGATTTTCAGAGAATAAAGAGAGAATAAAGTGTCAGCTCTGAACTCTCTAAAACAGTGACGGGGGTCTGGAGGAGCCTCTTTATAGACAAAGCCCCTCACTGTAATAGCCACGTATTACATCACTGCTGTCAGAACAAAACCTCATCTCTCCAAAACAGTAACTTTACAGGAGAAGAAAAAAACATAGTTTATTTTTAATGTAAGTCAAATATACTTTTTTTCCAAGTCAGTTTGTTTTGTTTCTTTTGGTTCATTCGTCATTAAATTTACACACAATGTAAAAGACAAAAGACATTATCAAATGTCAAAAACTGAAAAGTAAAAGATACGAGGTTTTGTTCCAACAGCAGTGATATATTCCAGTTCAGACCTAACTAAACTGTAATATTTAAGAGTTTCAATGTCAATAATAATAATAATAATAATGAAACTACGATATAAAATATTCATTAATCATCATATAATAATAGGAAATATCATAATAAAGCAGTGTTTACTGCAGAAACCTTGCTCACCAAATTGCCACCACAGTGATGATGCTGATTTCTGCTAGCACATCTATGCAGTTTCCTATACTATAATAGCATCAAGCTAACGGTGCTACACATTTGTTTTTCCACTCTGGGTTTAATACAGCAGATTGTTTTTAGATTGAAATTGTGCAGTAAACTGCTAGAAAGAGTGCACACTTGATGACATTGTGTGGGTTTGTTTCCTCTTGTACCGAAGCTGGCATCATATTTCTAATATCACTTCCAACATAAACATTGTATATGACATTATATGGTTTAGTAGTCGCTGGAGAATGTGGACAGTGTCGTTAGACCCTGCCACATAAAAACACACAGTCTGCTTTGACCACTGATGTCTCTAGTTCTGTGTACCTGTTTGGTACGACTCCATTTCCTGTTAGTTTTTCTCTGAAATGGTTTGGATTGTGTCTTTTAAGGCCTCCTGGTGAAACGCAGCACCTTCTGCTGTTAAAAAATAATGCAACTGTTCTGCTTCAGCAAGTCTTCATGGTGGTGTTCCTCTCCTTAAATGCCCCACAGCTGCTCTTACTCTGGTGTGAGGGCAGCCCAGGTGACACATAACCCCCCACCCCCACCCCCCCACCACATGACTTAGCATGGCTGCACCTGTGTTTTTCCCTCCACTTTCCGTCCTCTTCCCTTCTCAGAGTGCTGATAGCTGGTGACAGTGTTTTGTAAACACAGTGCTGACCTCTGACCCTGATCCACAGCTTCCTCACACCCAGTGAGTGGCTCAGTTGGTACCGTTTGATTTGTGTCCCCCTGATTAAACCCTTATTTCACCTCTTTGTCCCGTCCAGGCAGCTGTACCTGGCGGAGGCGGCGTGCCGGCTGCAGGGAGTCGAGAGGGACAGAGACGGGAGGCTCCAGGCATCCATGTCGAAGGAGGAGTACCTGAAGATGATGCTGCCGGACAGTCCACCTGGAGAGGAGGGCCGCAGGAAGGTAAGCTGGAGTATCTGTGGTGCGGTTCCACTGTTCCACCGTTCCACTGTTCACAGGTACATGTAATTTTTGGCAGGAAGATTTGCTGCAGTCTGATCTGGGCCTGAGTGAGATCTAAACATTGTTTACATAATATTTTCTGTCTACAAAATCATGATTATCGATTACGTCACCCCAACCCACCCAATACACCTGGTCCACCGCAGCCTTTACCTACTTCGTGTTCTGTTTTAGTGCATGTGCTTTGTTTGAATATTAACTGTTTAAATGAAAATCTTTAATAAAGCCATATGTTTAATAATTTCATATAAAGTAACCCAACATCTTTTAAAAAACTAGTTGTCATTTTAATACATCTTACTGAAAACATGCATTCTTGAGCTCCTTCTGGTGTGAGTCTGTGACTACTTGTGTGATAATAGTGCTCCCTGCTGGAGAAACTTCACACTGCAAGTGATTTTCAGAGCCACCTCCAAAAATAGTGAGGTGTTTTATGTGTTTATGGTGGAGTCTCTCTGGAATTCAGCTGTTACATATAAAACATTGTACACATATTATTTAATATTATTTATGATCTTTTTCTGATCCTGATTTTTGACAATAGAGAAGCATCAGAGGAACTTTCTCTCCAGGTTAGAGCTAACTACTCTCCGGTAAATCCAATCACATCAGAAACAAAGCAGAAAACATACACTATATTGCCAAAAGTATTGGCTCGTCTGCTTCACACGCATATGAACTTGAGTGACATCCCATTCTTAATCCATAGGGTTTAATATGATGTCGGCCCACCCTTTGCAGCTATAACAGCTTCCACTCTTCTGGGAAGGCTTTCCACAAGGTTTAGGAGTGTTTATGGGAATTTTTGACCATTCTTCCAGAAGCGCATTTGAGAGGTCAGACACTGATGTTGGACGAGTAGGCCTGGCTCACAGTCTCCGCTCTAATTCATCCCAAAGGTGTTCTATCGGGTTGAGGTCAGGACTCTGTGCAGGCCAGTCAAGTTCTTCCACACCAAACTCGCTCATCTGTGTCTTTATGGACTTTGCTTTGTGCACTGGTGCGCAGTCATGTTGGAACAGGAAGGGGTCGTCCCCAAACTGTTCCCACAGAGTTGGGAGCATGAAATTGTCCAAAATCTCTTGGTGCTGAAGCATTAAGAGCTCCTTTCACCGGAACTAAGAGGCCGAGCACATCTCCTGAAACACAACCCCACACCATAATCCCCCCCAACAAAATTTACACTCGGCACAATACAGTCAGACAAGTACCGTCTCCTGGCAACCACCAAACCCAGACTCGTCCATCGGATCGGCAGACGGAGAAGCGTGACTGCTCTAGAGTCCAGTGGCGGCGCTTTACACCACTGCATTCGACACTTTGCATTGCGCTTGGTGATGTAAGGCCTGGATGCAGCTGCTCGGCCATGGAAACCCATTCATGAAGCTCTCTACGCTGTTCTTGAGCTGATCTGAAGGCCACATGAGGTTTGGAGGCCTGTAGCGATTGGCTCTGCAGAAAGTTGGCGACCTCTGTGCACTATGCGCCTCAGCATCCGCTGACCCCGCTCTGTCATTGACTCAGGTCAAACTTCAGGTGTTCATGGTGGAGGGATACATGCAGGGCGCTGTGAGGCAAAATAGTCCCCAAAGAAAACGTGTTATTTCAGATTTTCCACTGTTTTCCATCATCAACATTCCATATAAACTCAGAAGACTCGTGTAGGTTCACTGGTGGTTCTGGATAGTAAATAAAATGTCTATATGTGTGTTGTAGTCATGGCGACCCCTGGTTCCTATCACCACCACTGTAAAGACATCTGAACCATTTCACCCCAAACCACTCTGAATCACTCTGTTTACGTCTCAGATGCTGAGTTGTGTCTCTTTTTAAGCCTGATTTTTGTAATACGGGTTAAAGGTCTGTGTGGTTTAGTGCTGCCAGCTTTGACAGGCTCCTTTGTGTTTTTGGGGTATAAAACAAACCGCAGTCATTATCAGAACTGCCACGTTAAAGCCAGTGTCTAAACAGTGATAGCCTCAGCTGGGGTCACGTGTATCCTGATCTGGCTCTGTGAGCGGCCACTGATAACCTCAGTGTAAACTCATCGAGCAAACATCACTCTGCGCTCTCAAAACACCAGCTTTCCTACACGCTGCTCTGTCACAGCCTCGGACACAATGGAAATATTTTCCTTAGTCTGATTTATTTGCAGATTCTGAATGTGCTTACTCTGCGTGTCACGGGTCAGGCTGAGAGAAAGCACGTACGTTTGATGTCCATCTTGCTCCTGGAGGCTATTAATTGCATTCTGACTTCCCTCCCCCGTGTCTCTCTGCTGCCCAGTGTCCAGCAGGAAGGACATACAATGGCCTATTTTTAGACTCATTCTCCACCCTCCAGTGGAAAGAGCTTGTAGAGCCCTGAAGGAGGAGAGATAACTGTGTTACGCACAGTCCTAGTTAAGAGATTTCCCCTCTGTGTGACATTAAAGGAATTCTCCTGCACTTTTCAGCCTCTTCTCACTCTGCTTCATCTGTGTCGCACCGTCAGTAATCATGGCCAGTCGTTTTGGCACCTTTCCCAACACTTAGAAAAGGAAATGACTCAACTGCACTCAAAATTAACTCATAAATAGAATCTGTACCTGATTCCATGAAATTTTTCGAGTGTTTAGCGCTGGTGCTATAAAAGTTGCAAGTGGTGCAGCATAGATTAAATATATACATTGGACAAAAAATGGACATAAAATGCTTCAAAAAATCTTAAATTCAAAAAGTGTAGCAAAGTGTGTTTTAAACTGTGGAAAAAACAAGCAGCATATAAAAGTTCTGTGTTTAAATGTTTAGATATACAGAATTCATTTTTACACAATAATTCAGATTCCCCACAAGGGGGTGCTATAGTGTTTTTTCTGTTTCTTTGCATGCGAGGAGACCCACACCAGCAGGAATGTGCATACGACACTAATGAAGGACTTTTTCAGCAGGCAGACTTTAAATTTTAAATCATTGCTGGGTTTAAAGGGGAGCTGTTATGCTTTTCCAGTTCTTCTCTTTCCTTTAGTGTTGTATCTTTGTGTGCATGTAAACGTCCTGCAGAGTCCCAAAGCTCAGCGTTCCCTCCAGAGGGAGACACTCTCTCCCACAGAACCCACTTTTCTCAGCTGCCTGAAACGCCTTGTTGGAATTCCAGCCCTTTTCCTTTGTTACAGGATGACATCATCTCATAACACAGTCCTTACTGCCCGCCTACCGGCGAGCTCCGCCCCTCACACAGCGCACAGCGGCTACTGGAGGAGGAAGAGTATGTTCAGTGCTATAGTGTGTGGAGACGCTGACCGGACTTTCAGGCTCCACTCTGGATCAAACTGATACGGCAGAACCGACACCTGGTTATTAGACTACCAAGCGTAAATACATGAGGCTAAAATCCTATCAGGGTACGATCCAGATACTGGACACAGGAAGTGACCAGGTGTAAACAGGGTCTTATTTAAGGTGCACAGTTGGACATTAAAGCCACTGTTGTACCTTTGATGGTATGTTTACGTTGTGTGTTCCTTTTTCTGACTGTGTAAAATTGGTCAGTGTATACGGTATACAGTGTATAAGTCATCTTCTCACATATACCACTGCAGCTCTGACCTGTTTAGCCCTGTCCGAGCACTGAGAGGTCATCTCACTGCCTTTCACATCATTCACATTTCACCTAACACATACAGACACGTCGACATGCTGACCCTGAGGTCCCGAGCTGCACCGTCTGTCTCTGTGTGGACGCTCAGGAGGCCACCTCTCTGTATCTGAGCACTTCCTGGAGGAGTTTTTGAATGTCTTTTCTGCTTAAATGTGCTACATTCAGTGAAATTCAGTGTTTGTACCACCGTGTTACTGCAAATGTTTGAGATGTTTTACTATGTTCTTCATCAGCTGAATATCTAGAACCTGTTAGTCACTTCAGTGTGTTTTAGCTAGACTTGTCTTAGTGTTTATCATCTTTTTATTCAAGAAAATCACACTGTACAGTGAAGTTTATATTAAACTTAACGGACTTAAAGTTAATATTTAGAACCTGTTGAGCATTTCATTGTAATTTAGTTAGACTGACTTGGAACTCGCTGTCATACCCAAAATAATCATCTAACACAGTTTAAACAGTTTCCACAACTGGAGTTCAAAAACTGATCAAAAGCTCCAGAGAAAATGTGTCTCCTAACAGCCACCTGGAAGAGCTGGTCGACCCCAAAACTGCCCCCATCAGATAAACAGCACTTAAAGCTTTCATCTCTGAGAGAGAGGAGAAAATCAAGCTGATCAGATCTGAAAACATCCACAGGTGTTTCTGTCCATCCTTCCACTGTGAGAAGACGACTCAGCGCTGTGGGTCTGAAAGGATGTGTAGCTGATCAAGAAGAACCTCACTGAGAAAAGGAGACGGACACATCAAACAAAGAAGCTGAACGATGGACTGACCACCCCAGAGTCCAGACCTCAACACCACTGAATGTGTTTGATTACTTCAGAAAATGATCAACCAGCTTCTAAGACTGAACTTTGGAGGTGTGTCTGCAGATTCTTTGAGGAACTGAAAGTGAGTCTCCTGTAACGAATGGAAGCTGGAATAAAGGGAGAGAGAGACTCACTGACTCAGCTGAGAGCAGAGTGAGCTGCTGAGGATTTTCTGTTAAATGTGTTTCCTGCTTTGTTCCTGATGATTGTACTAAATGAACATTTTGACTGTAAATTAATTAAATGAAGGTCACTGTTTTTTGTACAGTATGGAGGAGATTTTTAGGGGGCGGGGCTTAACAAACTGTGTTTGGATCTGCTTTGATGTGAGAGGGCCATATGGGATCTAATCTCATTAAGCTGCACACAAGGATAAAGGAAAGAGGGACTAAGTGAATGTGGGTAAATATGAGGTTTTAAAGTCAGTATTTGGGTGGGGGGAGGGGAAGGGGAGGGAGGAGGGGTGCGTGTGGTTTGTGGTCTAGTGGTGGGATTTTTGAGTGGGATTTTCGGAGGCTGCATTTGGGCAGTAGAGGATTTGTGATTTCTGCTCACTCTCCTGTTACTGGAGTGCATTTTCCCTTAGAGGATTACAGCATTGTTGTCATACATGGGCAGCGCTAAGGAGGTCAGCTGGATCCAAAAAATTAAAAAAAATCTTAAAATGTAATCACTGTATCTTTAGAGTAAGGAAATAGTAACTGCTGTATAGTTTTGGGATTGAAGCCTTTCGATAACTCAGTTCAGTTCATACATTTGACACCTTTGTTATCTGATTTATATTCCTTTGGGATACTATGGCAACCACCTGGAACACTATATCAACCACCTTCACAACCACCAGAGATACCATAGCAACTACCTAGCAACACCCTAACAACCACCTGGAACACTATATCAACCACCAGAGATACCATAGCAACTACCTAGCAACACTCTAACAACCACCTGGAACACTAGATCAGCCACCTTCATATCCACCAGAAATACCATAGCAACTACCTAGCAACACCCTAACAACCACCTGGAACACTATATCAACCACCTTCATATCCACCAGAGATACCATAGCAAGTACCTAGCAACACCCTAACAACCACCTGGAACACTATATCAACCACCTTCATACCCACCAGAGATACCATAGCAACTACCTAGCAACACCCTAACAACCACCTGGAACACTATATCAACCACCTTCATACCCACCAGAGATACCATAGCGACTACCTAGCAACACCCTAACAACCAACTGGAATCCCATAGCAACTGCCTAGCAACACCCTAACAACCACCTGGAACACTATATCAACCGCCTTCACAACCACCAGAGATTCCATAGCAAGTACTTAGCAACACCCTAACAACCACCTGGAACACTATATCAGCCACCTTCATATCCACCAGAAATACCATAGCAACTACCTAGCAACACCCTAACAACCACCTGGAACACTATATCAACCACCAGAGATACCATAGCAACTACCTAGCAACACCCTAACAACCACCTGGAACACTATATCAGCCACCTTCATATCCACCAGAAATACCATAGCAACTACCTAGCAACACCCTTACAACCACCTGGAACACTATATCAACCACCAGAGATACCATAGCAAGTACCTAGCAACACCCTAACAACCACCTGGAACACTATATCAACCACCTTCATATCCACCAGAGATACCATAGCGACTACCTAGCAACACCCTAACAACCAACTGGAATCCCATAGCAACTGCCTAGCAACACCCTAACAACCACCTGGAACACTATATCAGCCACCTTCATATCCACCAGAAATACCATAGCAACTACCTAGCAACACCCTAACAACCACCTGGAACACTATATCAGCCACCTTCATATCCACCAGAAATACCATAGCAACTACCTAGCAACACCCTAACAACCACCTGGAACACTATATCAACCACCAGAGATACCATAGCAACTACCTAGCAACACCCTAACAACCACCTGGAACACTATATCAACCACCTTCATATCCACCAGAGATACCATAGCAACTACCCAGCAACACCCTAACAACCACCTGGAACACTATATCAACCACCTTCATATCCACCAGAGATACCATAGCGACTACCTAGCAACACCCTAACAACCAACTGGAATCCCATAGCAACTACCTAGCAACCCTCAGGGATACCATGTAAACTGCTTGGCAGTACCTTAGCAACCCCCTAAAATACCTAACAACACCCTAGCAACTATGCAGGATACCATGTCAACCACCTACTAACACCCGAGCAACCATGTTGGACCACGTAGCGCTAGCAACTGATTCACACCAGCACAGCACACACTAACACACCACCACCACGTCAGTGTTACTGCAGCGCTGAGAATGACCCACCACCCAAATAGTACCTGCTCTGTGAGGGTCCATGGGGGTCCTGACCACTGAAGAACAGGGTAAAAGGGGGCTAACAAAGTATCAGAGAAACAGATGGACTACAGTCTGTAACTGTAGAACTACAGAGTGAAACTATATGGTCAGTGGAGATGAAAAAGTGGACAGTGAGTGTAGAAACAAGGAGGTGGACTTGGAAGTTGGATCTCAGATTGAAGTTATAAACACTTTTCTATGCAAACCTGTCTGTTTTTTAAATATGCACATATTTTAAGAGAGTCGCTGTCGTTCAGTCATTGTAATATAAATAAAACTGAATATATTTTAGTGAAAAAATCTCTAGTTCATTTTTGTGGAGAGTAGAAGGGGCTGGATGAGTCAGGCCCACCTGACCGGCCCACCTGATTGCTGCGGTCAATAAGGTAATAACAGCATCAGATCAAAGGCTGACCTGCGAACGATACTCTGATTATTAAAGGTCCACTGTATGGGGAAGAAGACCCGCCCCTTCTGGTATCTATATTAAACAGCAGAAAATCTCCTACATGCTGTCATATTTATATGAATGTAAGCAGAGCGCTAGCTGGAGCAGCTGGTTAGCGCTGTGAGGGGTCTGCAGTGAGCTGTGTGCTGTGTTTGATCCACTGGCTGGTGGAGCTCAGATGATCGACTCTGTGCCGACTCTGTGTCGACTCTTTGTAGACTGTGTCGACTCTGTGCCGACTCTGTGTCGACTCTGTGTCGACTCTTTGTAGACTGTGTCGACTCTGTGCCGACTCTGTGTCGACCCTTTGTAGACTGTGTCAACTCTGTGCCGACTCTGTGTCGACTCTGTGTTGTGTAGTGATTATTTGCTGGTACGTGACTCTGTGCCGACTCTGTGTCGACTCTGTGTCGACTCTTTGTAGACTGTGTCGACTCTGTGCCGACTCTGTGTCGACCCTTTGTAGACTGTGTCGACTCTGTGTCGGCTCTGTGCCGACTCTGTGTTGCCTCTTTGTAGACTGTCGACTCTGTGTCGACTCTGTGTCAACTCTGTGCCGACTCTGTGTCGACTCTTTGTAGACTGTGTTGACTCTGTGCCAACTCTGTGTCGACTCTTTGTAGACTGTGTCGACTCTGTGCCGACTCTGTGCCGACTCTGTGTCGACTCTTTGTAGACTGTGTTGACTCTGTGCCAACTCTGTGTCGACTCTTTGTAGACTGTGCCGACTCTGTGCCGACTCTGTGCCGACTCTGTGTCGACTCTTTGTAGACTGTGTCGACTCTGTGCCGACTCTGTGCCGACTCTGTGTCGGCTCTGTGTTGAGTCTGTGTCGACTCTGTGTTGTGTAGTGATTATTTGCTGGTACGTGACCAATCCAGTCCAAATACAGCCGCTCTGTTCACTTCCTGCACTCAGAGTGAGCAGCATCAGCTCTATTTCTGTCTCTGAGAGAGTGAGAGTGAGAGTGAGAGAGAGAGTGAGAGAGAGAGAGAGAGAGATTCATTCTTTCATTGAGTTAAATGCAGATCCTTGAACACGGCCTGTAACCATTTTAGTTGAGTTTAACTTTTCCTTTATCCGTTTTATTTAATTTTATTATTTTATTAACATTTTTATTATTTTTTCCTTCCCAATAATCTTATTATTTCATTTTATCTCAATTCTGTTATGGTTTTATTTGTTTGTTTTTATTACCTTTTGCAATCCTTTTACTTTTACTTTTATTTCTCGTTCTTTATTTATTTCCTCTGTTTTTTTCTGTTAATTTGTTTGTGATTCTGTTCATTTTAGTTTAACCTGATTAGATTCCATTTTAATTTCTTTTTCCATGCCTTTAAATATATATATATATATATATAAATAATATTATTTTGGATCAATTATGATAAACAATGAACAAGTAGGCAATTTTGTGCCCAATAAATACATCTGTTTAACCCTTTAATGGCATCTTTATATTTTTGTTGTAACAAAGTGAGACATTACACTGTTTACAAGTTTTTTATTGCACATTACCACTTTTTCATCACAGATACTAAATATAAAGAAAAAAATAATATGCAAAAACAAAAAATTGCAGTACTACAATTTTTTCACTTTTTTACAGAAAAACCAGCAAAAGCATACAGAACAAAACAATTTGAATAATTTGAATATCCACTTTATGAACCTGTAACACTAGTAGATATTGTGTAGCTCAGGGCTGGGATTTCACAGGGGAATTCACTGCTGGATTTGGCGTCTCAAAGCTCTTTTCTGGTCTAACATGGAGATTAGTTTGTTGTTGAAATCTCAGATGACTGAAGTTATTTACGTTTAAACACATTTGTGCAACATTTGCACTTAAAGGGTCACTAAAACATGCGAGAAGTGTTTGACATCAAATTTATGAGGTATTATCGCCCCCTACTGGGCTGACGCGCTCCTCCGAGCGTTTTTGAGTCATTTTGCGTTCTGTTGTTTACGTAGATTCTCACAAACACTGCTGGTGTGGAACTATTTTTATTTTTTTTTTAAAAGAGAGAAAAACTGTTTTCATAAATATCCTCTTGGATGTGGACGAGGCCTCAGAGTGAACCCTAATGTTTATATGTGTCCTCCATCAGGCAGCAGCTGCTGGCGGCCTGTCCCCGCGCCGCTCTCTGTACCGCACTCTGTCGGACGAGAGCGTGTGCAGTAACCGCAAGGGCTCGTCCTACGCCAGCTCCCGCAGCTCCATGCTGGACCAGGCTTTACCCAACGACATCCTGTTCAGCAGCACTCCACCGTACCACAGCACGCTGCCCCCTCGCATCAGCCTCAGCCAGCCAGCGTCCAACCTCCGCAGTGAGTACTGCTCCCTACAGCACTGCACCCTTACACACTACACTTTATAGCACTGCACCCTTACACACTACACTTTATATCACTGCACCTTACACACTGCATCCTACAGCACTACACCTTACAGCACTGCACCCTTACACACTACACTTTATAGCACTGCACCTTACACACTGCATCCTACAGCACTACACCTTACAGCACTGCACCCTTACACACTGCATCCTACAGCACTACACATTACAGCACTGCACCCTTTCACACCCCATACCCACCCTACAGCACTGCACCCTTACACACTGCATCCTACAGCACTACACCCTACAGCGCTGCACCCTTACGCACTATACTTTATAGCACCGCAACCCTACAGCACTGCACCCTTACACACTACACTTTATAGCACTGCACCTTTAAATACTGCATCCTACAACATTGCTTTCTACCGCTCTGCACTCTACAATACTGCCTCCTTACACACTGCACCCGACAACACTGCTCCTTAGACACCCTACAGCACTGCATTATGACACACCATTAAATACTGAATCCTACCACACTGCACTCTACAGTACTGCATCCTTACACACTGCACCCTACAGTGCTGCACCCTTACACACTACACCCTTCAGCACTGCACCCTTAAATACTGCATCCTACAGCATTGCATTCTACCGCACTGCACTCTACAGTACTGCATCCTTACACTCTGCACCCGACAGCACTACACCCTACGGCACTGCACCCTACTGCACTGCTCCCTTACACACTACATCCTACAGCACTGCATTATGACACATTACACCATTAAATACTGAATCCTACCGCACTGTTCTCTTATATACTGCATCCTACAGCACTGCACCCTCACACACTGCTCCCTAGAGTGCTGCACCTGACAGTACTGCACCCTTACACACTGCTCCCTACAGCACTGCATCCTTACACACTGCACCCTGCAGCACTGCACTATACAGCATTGCACCCTACATCACTGCTCCCTTACACACTTCACCCTACAGCACTGCCCTATACAGCACTGCACCCTACTGCACTTCACCCTCAGAGTAAATTATCATGCATTTCTCAAAGGCAATAGTGATTCTTAGTATGGGGGTCTCGTCACGCGATGGGCTTCAAAAAACAACAAAGGTCTATTCTGACACATCTTTGAGAAGCACTTTTCCATAAAACCTCCACACCAGTGACCTCCTGCTGTCACTGTAATATGAGGAGAGCCGCTGAGCTGAAAGTGACATTGTAGTGGCAGTAAAAGTCTGTAACTGGTGTGAGTAGCTGCAGTGGATGGACAGATGTCCCTTCACTGTATTATAAGATTAGGTGATTTTTAGCTCACTGCGCTCCATATTTGCAGAGCTGACTTGTCAGTAAGGTCTGCTGTCTGAAGCAGGTTATTCAGTTACCTCACACATTATTCAGCGTTATTCAGCTTCTGTAACAGTGTATTTGGATCCCCTCACTGCAGATGCTGATCTTGAATTTCATGTACATTCAGCTACAAATCCACTAAATTCATCATTTTCCCCAAACTTAAGCCTGACCTCAACCTCAACCCAAAACCTGACCCTCACCCTGGTCCCAATCCTAATCCGAACCATAACAGTGGTGAGAAATCAACAGAGTTTTGAACATTTATAGATAATCCAAAAACAGTGGAACCTAAAGTAAACATAACTACTTCTTCAGAATAACTGAGCTGTAAATAATCTGTCAGATGTCTACAGATATTTACTCAGCCAACAATTCTAATTAAAGCCTAAATAAAAATACAGAGGCTTTAAACATTCAAATGTGCATTTTTACATTGAATTCACCAGGTATTTGAATTTCAACTTTAATTTTGGCTTTTTTAATTCTGCTAAATGAAACGAAACACAACAAAAATGGAGATTCAAAGTTTTCTACTGACAGCAACGATATTCAGCCAGAAGCTCCATCAGAGCTCCACTCCATCTGAGTACCTGGCGTCTCTCAGGGCTGCAGGTCATGTTTTATCATATTAATCAGTGACGCCGCTCGAGCGAGCAGAGTGAAGAGCACAGTGGTGTTTCAGGGCTCTCATCATCGTATCTGCTGGTTGAGCCTCTCAGATTGATCTCGGCGTGAACGTTATCGGTGGTGTGTGTGACGGAGGCAGCAGGTCCTGCAGATATCCGATTAAAGCCGTGTCAGACAGCGGCGCTCTGCCCCACAGACACCTGTCAGCCCGAGAGACACAGGCAGAGACGGAGCTCATGAATATGGATTAGTTTGAGGGCTTAATGTGTCCTGACTGCACTGCTGCAGGAGCGACTGGAAGAAGAGGCCACATGTCATTCCTGATGTATGTAAATCAGACATCTGCTTTATGGAACGCCGGGACCTCTGACTCAGGTTATCTGAATGACCGCACTGAAGGAGTGGACAGTGAGGTGCACTGTTTAGACTGATTGTTTATGATTAGAGCTGATTTTGAATACAACAGAAGATGCAGATCTCAAAACCGCTGTATATCTGCGATCTGTCGTTATTTTACTTGTGCAGTTTTAATGGTTTAAACTGATTTGATTGATTTTGTACAATTTTATTTTACTATTATTATTATTATTATTACTATTATTATTATTAGCATCTGATATATTTTCACGATATAATTTTTTCATTCCCTGATTTCTGTATTGGCTCGGCTACAGTGTAAATGAGGGTCAGCCTCCCTCTGCTGTAGAGTTGCCATTTTGGAGATACCTGTATTTGTTTGGACAGTGACGATATGAACTAACCCAGGGCTTCTCAACCTTTTCCACCTCAAGGTCCCCCTGTTTATGACTCGGAAGCATAAAGACCCACTTAAAAATATATCTTCGGAAATTTTTCAGCACAGCAGTGTTTGGGGGCAGTTGTATGTCATTGAACATAAAATAGCAGATCAGGCTAACGTTAGCTTGTTTTGTACCTGAAGTCAGGCGTAGCGGAGGCAAAGTATACAAATCGTCTCTGCAGAACTTCCTCCTGTTTAGTACAACATAAGCCAACAAACCTCTATTAAATAAAGATGAGTAGCAAACCGATGGCGATGGCGTTCACTTGATATCTGCAGCTTCTTCTTTTTTATGTGTTTATTTATTTATTTTTTGGATTTCTCCCCAATTTAGTCTCCAATTCCACCCAGTAGTTAAGACCCCCCAGTCACATGATACTAGCAGTGCTAGGAGGGTGAAGGCTAACGCAGGCTTCCTCTGAGCCCTGTGAAGCCCCACCGCACCTTTTCAAACTGCGGCTAACCAAATTCAGGAATAACATATTCAGGGCAGCATGAATGTTTTTCTAGTATATCTCACTCTGAAAGCTCCTCTATAGAGATGCAACTGTTTACTACAAGCATTCCGCTTGATAAACAGTTGTTTGTTTCCTGTCGGACTGATGAAACCAGCGCACAGAAGCGCAGAGAGCCGGAGCCAGTTCAGATCTCTTTGGTGACTTTAGTGTGCAGTTTACATCAGACAGTCTGTGCACTTCTGTGGACTGAAACTCAAACTTAATCCAACAAGAACTCGTCTGCAGTGAACATCTCACACCTCAAACCACAGCATCTGCCCCTGGCAATCTAACATGACTGCAGTGTGAGAAGAGTAATTAGTCATTTGTAAAAGGTTAATTTTGAGTAACTACATGGACAGTAATTCCCAGTGTGTGAAAGAACATCAAACAGAAGTAAACTTTTCTAGAACCTCCTATCGTTTCCACTCTGGCTCAGCTGGGTCTAAAGCAGGGATCGATGGGGATGATATTGTAATCACGCCAGTGTCAGACCGATGTGTGATGTGTGTATTGAACTCCAGGAGAGCAGGTGTTTATTCGACGCTGAGTTGCTGCACGTTTTATTCATTTTGCTTCATTTGTAAAGTCCCATGTCTCTGTAAAGCTGGTCCAGGTGGGTTTATTCCCGAGTTCTACGTCATAAATGTTTGTGTGTGGGCCTCGGCAGATACAGAGGGGTCCAAAAGTCTGAGACCACTTTGAAAATCTGTTTTTGGTTATTTTAACTTTGAACTTTTGTTTGTAACTTTATGGCAGATGACGGGTCCTGAGTGAGTGATTGGGAGTGCTGTGAGGGAGCAGGTATTGATCGGGAGGGTTTCTCAGGCTGAATGTTTGCTGTCATCTGTGATAAATTTCTGATGCTGTTTCTACAGACTGCAGGCTTCAGTTTATCCTCTGTCCAACCTTGCAGTCCAGTGAGTCCCTCTCATCAGTACTACAGAGAGAGATTAGTGGAGAACTGGCATATGGTGTTCTTTTCCATTTCCCTAGGAGATATGAAGGGGAATTCCACCAATTCCCAAAATTCCTGCATGATTAAGTGGTTAAGATATGAACAGAGTTGTTCAGAGTGGTTTGGTGTGAAACGCTCTGTTCTAGATAAACTTACCGAGTCAGAACTGTTCACAGTGGGGGTGATAGGAACCAGACGTCCACCTCTAAAAGCTCCCTCACAGAAAGTTCCTACATGAAATGGTTATGAATTCACTGCCTGATGACTGAGACACTGTTTTATGATAGTTTGGAGAACTTAAACTCCATTCATGGTGGAGGGATACATGCAGGGCGCTGTGAGGCAAAATAGTCCCCAAAGAAAACTTATTATTTCAGATTTTCCACTATTTTCCATCATCAACATTCCATATAAACTCAGAAGACTCGTGTAGGTTCACTGGTGGTTCCGGAGAGGCTGGATGAAGTTATTTCTTTAGTGCTGCTGTGATGGACAGCAGAGACGATCCCATCAGTTGTAATAGCTGCAGTTTGTGGTTTATATCTTAAAAGCATTGCTTTCAGCAGTGGAGGCCATGTCGTCTGTGAACTACACAACAGAGAGTTCAGCTAATGCACGTGTCCAGCTGGCAGTCCATCTCCAATTTAACTGTCAGGGAGGTCGTGTATGAGGGGAGGAGGCTGACAGGCTGGACAGTGCTGCCTCTTATGTGGAGTAAAAGGAGCCATTAGACAGTGAAGCCTGGCAGCGGGACAGCGGGTCACCAGCTCCACACAAAGCCCGTCCCCAGCGCCTTCATTCAGACGACCCCGCTGACCTGCCCAGATGGTCCAAACTGGACTTCTGACAGCAGCTCTGTTATCGTGTCTCCACTGGCCTGAATGGAATGGAGGGAGTGAGGAAATGACGAAAGCGGCTTTAGAGGGAAAAGGAGAAGAGCTGCTCAGTCTGAGAGTGTGAGTCACTGATCCCAGTTTCTGTGTATGTGTGTTCTCAGATGAGTTCTGGTTCTCCGACGGTTCCCTGGCAGACAGGTCAAAGTTTAATGACCCAGGGCTCATGCCCCTTCCAGACACTGCCACGGGCCTGGACTGGTCTCACCTCGTCGATGCAGCTCGCGCTTTCGAAGGTAGGCAGTGTGTGTGTGTGTGTGTGTGTGTGTGTGTGTGTGTGTGTGTGTGTTATCCTGTAAGAGGTCTGACTTTGTGCTTTTTTTGTTACACGTAGGTATTTGTGGTATATCATCACTGTCGGGACAAAACCTCCATTTTTCATATTTTGACCTCATTTAAAACTGCCGACTGCCCTTTAGATTCTGTCAGAATTTCATAATGAAGAGACCAACAGAAATAGATTAGATTAGATTAGATTAGATTAGATTCAACTTTATTGTCATTGTGAGGAGTTCAGGTACACAGCCGATGAATTCCAGTTGGCAGCAGGAGGTAACTGTGGTAAGCGATGCTGTGGTTACAATATGTACAATTAAGGATGGTAGAGAGGTAAACAAAATATAGATATGGAAGTATAAATATAACATACTACATGCAGAGTGAGTGGAGAGCGTACAGTGAGGTAATGTGTCCTGTGAGAGCAGCATGTGTAAAAGATAAGTATGCAGAGTAAACTTGTACAGTATTGTTGGTGCAAATATGAATAGTGCAGTCATACTAGGATATGAAGTACAATACAGTGCAGTGCAAAGATGAGAAACATCCTTGATGTTCCTCGCCCTGCCCAGGCAGCACTTATGGAAAATAATACAAAACTGCTTAGAGTAAAAGATTCTCCATTAGCTTTCATTACAATTCAAGGACGTTTTTCTCCTGTAAACTTACCTTTTTGGAGATGTCGGTTTTGATCCTTACGTCTCCATTTTTGGTGTTTTTCCTTTTAACACAATTTAAAATTTGCTTTTTGCATTGTTTCAAAAATTCATGACAAATGGAAAAATGAGAAATGGTCCAAAATCACTTGTTACTTGTTAAAGTAACAGTTTTGGAGATGTGAGGTTTTGTTCTGACAGTGACGATATATTAGGTATGAACATCGTAGTCAAATTTGAATTGTAAGGCATTATTTGAAAAATATTTATATAATTAGCGCTGCAGCTAACACTGCAGACCACAGTAATAAACAGCGCGTCAGATATAGTTCACCACTAATAGACCTCCATTCATCAGTACAGTGTGTACAGCAGAGAGTCAGACTCAGTTCAGGTGAAGGCCACGGTACACTCAGTCAAGCGTCAAAGGTATGTTTGACTGACGTATAAGATACTACGCTCTAAAAAAGGTGGTTTTTCAAGGGTTCTTTAGGTTTTATTTAGAACCACAAGTTCTTAATAGAACAATTTCATGGTGAAATGGTTCTTCAGATTGATGGAGAATTCGTTGTATATGGTTCTGTATAGCACCAAAAAGGGTTCTGCTGCTGTTATGATGTCAAGCTTGTCTCAGTAGAACTGTTTTTGTGCTACATAGAACACTTAAAAAAAAAAAACAATTAGCATAGAACCATATAGAACACATTCTTCATCAGCCTGAGGAACCATTTCTAGGGCTGGACCTGAATATGTGGCTATTTGTTTATTTGTTCGTTGGGGAGGTATTTGTTTTTTTTTTTGTTTTTTTTTTAATTTTGGGATTTGGATACTGCAACATTCGAGGGTCTCGGGAGAAACTTAGACGACTCGAGGTTTTGGTCCATAACAGCTTTATTTTTAAGTTGCTGAGAACAGAGAAGAATCACAGCCTCTCCAGCACCAACAGCTAAAAACACAGCGCTTTGCTCTGCTCCGGAAACCCAACACTCCGCCCACATTCAGGCTCTTCAACATAAAAGTCCCAAAACAGCCCAACATGAACATTTCTTCTGAACTGCTTACAGCGTGACATGACAACACTACAGAACATTCTATCAGCACATTCTTTTACTATATTTATACCTCTAATCGCTGTAAACGTGCTGATTAACAGTCGTGGGCTGGAGGTTAGGGGACCAGCTATATTAGAGGTATAAACATAGTAAAAGACCGGAAGGTCGCTGGTTTGATCCCCTGAGCTGACAGTACGTGACTGAAGTGCCCTTGAGCAAGACACCTAACCCCCAACTGCTCCCCGGGTGTTGTGGATAAGGCTGCCCACCGCTCCAGGCAAGTGTGCTCACTGCCCCCTAGTGTGTGTGTTCACTAGTGTGTATGAGGTGTTTCACTGCACAGAGAGGTCAAAATGCGGAGGTGAAATTTCCCCGCTGTGGGACTAATAAGGGTCACTTAATCTTAATCTTAAACCTGTGCTGTTACCCCCAGCCTGCCGCTAAGAGAGCTGTGAGGAAAGCAGATAGACTGGAGGTTCGGCAGTCCTTCCCATCCCACCCCATTGCAAATCCCTCCCTTTCCCAACCTTTCAGCTGGGAAACGTGAGTTTGTGAAGAGTTGGAATCAGATCAGATGTGCAGTCAGAGTCGTCTGTGTGCTGTTCAGTTTCCTATCACTGTGTAAAAGATGCACGAGGCTCCTTTTTTGCTGGACTTTTCCAAGTGATTAGTAAGAGCTTATTATCGATTTGTTTAATCAGAGAAACAACGTTTGACATCTTGCTCAAAAATTTGGCTTTGCTGGAAATAAAAAATCAGGTAATAGTGAATGTGTGACATCATTCAGAAATTGCGTCATTATTATAAAAAACAAACAAAACAAAATGACAGAATTAGCCACATTTTGCATCAGCCTTTAATAATTAATATAAGAATATATTAGTTACATGTTCAACATTTTTAAACTTTAATGACTGCTCGACTATTCTAACTCGCCACTAATACATATAAAACCAAGGTGTGAATTACAGGGCGTCCCCTGAATGTCTCAAGCTAAAACTTCTGAGGGGTTCTAGAAAATATAACGTTATACTGCCTGTTTGGAAAAAACAGACGCTCAAATCCAGATTCAATGAAGCTGATTGTTGATCTGTTTCCCCCACAATCAGCTTCTGTCTTTGTTGTTCTTAACTAACTAGAGCTGCAGCACTGCTCTGCCTCAGGGTGGCGCTGTAGCAGACTGGTTCACCCAGTTGGTCCTTCATAGCCTAGAAACTGTAACTCTGCCCGGATTCCTCTGAGAAACTTTACAATGAGCTGCAGCAGATCTGTAAATCTGAAAACTCGCCCAGTTTCCCAAGAGTTTGGAGTGAAGAGTGACTGTTCCTCATTTCTCACACGGAAGACAGAAGAGGAGACGAGGAAGATCTCAGTTACTGTGAGGAAGAGCGCAGAACCGCACTAGAACAGAGACTCTACAGAAGAGGAGACGAGGAAGATCTCAGTTACTGTGAGGAAGAGCGCAGAACCGCACTAGAACAGAGACTCTACAGAAGAGGAGACGAGGAAGATCTCAGTTACTGTGAGGAAGAGCGCAGAACCGCACTAGAACAGAGACTCTACAGAAGAGGAGACGAGGAAGATCTCAGTTAATGTGAGGAAGAGCGCAGAACCGCACTAGAACAGAGACTCTACAGAAGAACAGCTGATAAAACAAACATTTACTGACATTGAAGCATCAGCGCCGCTATGGAGAGAGAGAGTCAGCAGACAGAAAACACGGGACCCCCGAATACCGGGGGGATTTCACACACTGGGTAAAACACATATGACCTCACAGCGACTCAGTGTATAAGAGCAAACCTGTGTCTGTGTTTGTGTTTGTATGTCTGTGTCTTGGTCCATTTTTGTATGTCCAGTACATCTTTATTGACGGTCAATCTTCCTTTTCGCTGCTGTTGGAACAAAACCTCGTAAAATTTACAGGACAAAGAAAAACGTTGATAACTTGTAATGGAAATAAACATTTTTCCAAGTCATTTTGGGCCGTTTTTGTTGTTGCGTTCGTCATAAAATTTTGACACAACATAAACTGCAACTGTATTTTTGAAAACGTTAAAAAATGAAACGTCAGAAACTAAAAGGTTTTGTTCTGACAGCATGTTTTGCATCGTTTCATGGAGAAGCCAGTAAACAAAGAAAGCAGAGGAACAGTGCTTGAAAATGGAGTCGAGTCACACTGTAAACCCAGCAGGACGCCTCTCGGGCAGAGAGCACTACCTGCTAACACCTACAATTAAGCCCTCAGTCTCTGAGCAGGCGGGTTCTGCTCCTCCGGGTTATTTGCATCTGAAAGAAGCTCTGCAAATAGCTCTGTGGAGGACGCTGTACCGCACTGGCCCCTCCTGTGTGGTCTGTCTGCTGCCTTGTTCTTCTTATCAGTTTGATAAATGAATTAGTGCTGATGGGTCTTTCTTTCAGAAGCCTTTTCTGAACGTGGTTCAGCGTCTGGGCTGTGATGTGGGAAGACTTTTCATTCTGAAGCTTGTTTTCAGCCTTGGACTTCGGTTATTTTTGTTTTGCCTATTGAGTTGAAATCAAACTCCAGTCTCAGGGTGGTCAGTTGGTTGTTTCTTTGTTTAACCACACACGAACCTACAGCTGGACGATTGATCACAATTTATTTTCAGTTGAGATTTTGGCTTCGAATGATTGTGAAAACAAGACAGTTCAGATAAATGATTATTGTGCCTCATTCTGTTTCACAGTGGTGCTCTCGCTTTATCTTGTGTTCTAAATCCTGCGCACTCCTTTCCTTTTCGGTACTGAATGACAAAAAGTGCTGAATTTCAGTACCAGCCTTTAATGTCCTTGGACTGAGTTACTGGAATATCCATAGGAAAACAAGTATCTCCAAAATGGTAACTTTACAGGGACCTCATTAACTCTTAATATATTTTAATGTAAAGCAGTTTTGTTCCAAGCTATTTTGGAGCGTTTCTATTTGTCCATTCATCATGAAAATTTCTCTAAAAGTAAAGAACAGCTTTCATGTTCAAATGATGTAGAAAAATAAAAAATTGACGAACAATGGAGATGCATGTTTTTCTTTAGACAGTGAGGATATGTCGAATAGTTAACCATATATTTTATAGTTTAAATATATTTTAGGAGTTTTCAGTAGGCTGTGGTGGTGCAGTACAACACATTTAATCTAATTTGTTTTGTATTTATTATTTTTATATATATTTGGTGGTTTTCAGTAGGTTATGGAAGTGCACTACAACATAGTTGATCTTATTTATTTTTATTGATTAGATTTTATTTGTTTAAATATACATATAATAATTTATTTAATTTTGCATTTATTTTAAATGTTTTTCAGTTAAATTATACAGGAAATCCATTGTTAAAAAGACAAGCTTTAAATGTTCAGTTAATGCATGATGCTTCCAGAGTTACTGAGTAATCATGTTAAATAGTCTTGATCTCAGTATTGCCAGGATTTTTGCCATAATCAATCAATATATTGGTGAATAAACCTAAAGAATGGCTGGTTGGGAATATTCAAGCGCAAATCTGCCATAGAAAGCATCTACACTCCTATATGAAAGGAATCTGTCTGTAAGTCTTGATGCTCTCAGTACTTCGTTTGTTTTAGTTTGAATGGTCTTGTGAGCTGGACATTGATTATTATCTTCTGTAATGTTTGTTTGACGTGCTGGGAAGCCCAAGTGTGGAGCTGCAGACACACTTAGCTGTTCTCCAGCTGTGCCGTCAAACAATTTGACTGTTCAACCATCATTACAGTGTAATTTTACTAATTTGCTTTATTTTATTTTTATTTTTTTTATTTTATTTATTCATTTTATGTTCTTCTGATTTAGATGCTTTGGAGAAACAAGAACTACAGCAGAACCACAGATCTGCTAGAATCCCTTAAAAGCGCTGGATCTGACCTTTTCTTACTCGGGTCAGTGGTTCATAACCACAGGACTCCTTACACAGCACATTTTAATGCTTTGTCTGCTCCCAGCACACCTGATCCAACTGATCGGCTCATTAACGGCTGCTCACTGAGCCGAAGTGGATCTTTTATAGCAGGAAAACACTAAAGTGCGCAGGGCAGCGTGAGACGCCTGGGAGGGGATTCTTTCATTTGCTTTAACTTTTTAACCTTTGCTCTGTAATTTTGAGACGGTTCCTAAGTGGACGTGGGGGCAGACACAGTGATCATGTGGGAGCTGAGGTTTTTCTTCATCAAATAAAAGAACATAATCAACCTGCAGTTCAGTAAAAGTTGTGCTTGTCATCTTTAATTTGGCCAGAGTTCCATTTCCAGTCAAAACAGCGATTAAATAAGTTATTAATTTTTCATTGTCCAAAAAAAGGTTTTTTAAAACATTTTTACCCAAAAATTAGACTAAAAATTAAATACTATCACATTTTTTCAGTTTTAATTTGTCCACTCTACTTTCAGCTGGTTACAGATACAGATGCTAACATGCACACAAACAGCGTCCCAGACTCACCTTAACTGCCTCACACCTTCTCACTCATGAGCATCTAAAAGAGCCAAGAGTGAGGTCAAAAATATAAAGTTTATATTTTATAAAAATATAAAATATAAATCTGATCACTATTTGCACATTTCTAGAAAAGTCCTGCTGCAAAATGGTAGTAAAGTGTTGTGTTCATGTTATTTTCAGTGTAGCTGAAGCTGCTTTGTGCAGCTGTTGCAGGATTTGTATTTATACTGTTTGCAGTTTGAAAATATTTAATATTTCATTTTTATTAATGTCATTTATTGCTTAAGTGATTTTTATTACAAAGTGCCATCGGCAGTCCACTGCAGACCACCTGCTGCCCTTTAGTATTTGCTCCAAGGACCACCTGAGGGTGCTGAGTGGTGGTCCCCAGCCCAGTGGTTGAGAATCCCTGCTGTAGGTCATGATTGACCGGTGAATTGGGGACCTCTCAGATTGTCGAGTGTTTACAGTCAGTTTTGTGGGAGTTGATGAAGTCGCTGGTCTGTGATGCAGGTTCAGCTGCGCAGCTCTGCATGCTGACCGACTCAGAGCGTCTGCCTCAGGCGGCTTGTTTATGAATGTGTTCTGCATGATTTCCAGCGCTTGTTGAACTTATTAACATAGTTTTTTGCTCAGTCATGCAAATGGAGGCCAAATGTGTGGTGGGCTACATTCACAGCACAGTGGTTTTTAACGGGGCTCATTCTGGGTCGTAGTCCGCCACTGAAAGACTTCCGCATGTAGTAGTTACCAAAATTGCGAGGCTTCTTCTGTAGCTCGGTCTCTCTGGTGGACGACTGTTTTGAAGTGAGGCAGCTCTGCGGTGTCTGGCTGAGCTCTCGCACCGTCTTAGCTGCTAATTAGACTCTTTTGAATTGTGTTTTTCCTTTCACCATCCTGAATTGACTTTCCAAAAAAGGGATTATCTTAATGCGGAATGTTTCTATCCGAGAGGGATTTTCCACTGAACATTCAAAAACGAGAAATGACCCAAATGGGAACCAACAGAACTCATAGTTCTAGTTCACTTTCCACCAGTGTGGCTAACTGCCTATCTTGCTTGCGAGTTAGCTTAACGTGTTGGCTGATATGAAACAATATTGATATGCGCTCACTCAGTCACAAAAGGCGTGGTGATTGGGTTCTGTGGGTGACAGGTGGCTAAAAATTTGGAAGAACATTGGATTGAAACACGCAACATTTTTGCTGCCTAATTTGCCAGCCCTCTGTCTTAAACACTGACCTACATCTGTATCGTGTGTGTTGTGTTTCCAGACCAGCGTGTGGCTTCTTTCTGCACCATGACTGACATGCAGAGAGCTGAGGCTCTGCAGATCTCCCAGGAGCTCACTAAGCGAGTGGCTGCAGTGGAGGGAGCAGCGCTGCAGGCGGGGTGAGTCCAACACTCCACCTTAATGAGGACCATGAGTCAGAAAAGCCCAGTGATTGCACACAATAAACATTAGACTGTTGTTAAAACTGTAGATTCGTTGTTGCTGAATGTCTTTTCTGTGTCTCTGTTGTATTGAGTGTTATATGCAGGGTCGTACCTGCTACACAGAAAGGGCTGTTTATATTATTTGGTGATTTATTACTTATTGAAATATTATTACTTACTGAAATCTGTTATTTCAGCACATTTTGTTTAGTCTGTTAGATTTTGTTCAGTGCTTATTATAAAAACAGGATAAAGAGTACAGTCAGTGTAGTAGAGGGTTGTAGAGTGCTGAGACATTCACCGAATCTTTGCTTTTACATGAAATATGGTGTTACTAATAAACAGAAGCTTTTACAAAAACACTGCTGCATGCAGGATGATGTAATTAAGAAAGCTTTAAAATGTACCAAAGGATCAAAGTGCACAAACCACTGTTGATGACCGAACAGCAGTTATGGTAACTGTCTTTTTGCCATAGTCAAGATGTCAGTTATTAAATTACATCATTTAACATTATTTCATCTTTAATATTGGTCCATTTATAGTCGGTCAATTATTTGGTAATTTGGTGAAATGTATTATTTGGTTATTAAACATCGTTTGGTCAAACATTCATTTAAGCTGTCTGATGCCGCTCCTAAATTTTAGGAGAAAGTTTTCTGTGTTCACCCAAACTGAGCTGAAGTGCTGTTTCTGTCTCTTTTCAGTGACAGCTCACCTGCCACGCTGACCGGCAAAGTCAACCAGCTGGAGGTCATCCTGAGGCAGCTCCAACATGACTTAAGAAAGGTGAACTGTCCTTCAACAGTGAAAAACAATAGCCAGTTTTTTTCTGACTACATCGTTTTGTCCACCACCTGCAAGCCACTCCACCACCTACAGCCGCCTATAGCCACCTGCACCCATCTTTACCCACCTATAGCCACCTACACCCATCTTTACCCACCTATAGCCACCTACACCCACTTATAGTGACCTACAGCAGCCTATAGCGACTTACACCAACTACAGCCACCTACACTCACTTATAGCGACCTACACCCGTATAGCTATACACCCACCTGTGGCCACCTACACCCACCTATAGCCACCTATACTCACTTATAGCCACCTACACACTCCTATAGCCATACACCCACCTACACCCACCTATAGTGACCTACACCCTCCTATAGCCATACACCCACTTACACCTACCAGTAGCCACTTATACCCACCTGTAGCCACCTACACCCACCTACAGCCACCTATAGCCACCTACACTCACTTTTAGCAACCTACACCCTCCTATAGCCATACACCCACTTATACCCACCTGTAGCCACCTACACCCACCTGTAGCCACCTATAGCGACCTACACCCACTTACAGTGACCTACACCAACCTATAGCCATGCACCCACCTACAGCCACCTATAGCCATACAGCCTCCTACACCCACTTATAGCCACCTACACCCACCTGTAGGGTCTGCAGTGACGTGTACCCACCGGCACCCACCGACACCCACCTATACCCACCTACAGCTATTTACAGACACCCACACCCGCGTATAGCCACTTACACGCACCAATAGCCACCTATACCAGCCTATATCTACAGCTATCTATAGTCTCTGCCTTTATCCTTTCATTCACATGTGCAACTTCGCATCAGCCGAGCACGTTTTCCCGTTTCTCAGCGTTTTATTCCTGAGCTCTGCTGAGTGAATGTGAGGAAATGCATCATGCGCTTGAGTGTAGCTACACTGCGATTGTTTTGTGGGAAATGACTGCCAAACAATGCGCTAATGGTCACAGTAATGGGCACCCAGGGCACCACATTGCCACTTAGTCATCTCTGCTTCCGATCATTTTAGGCCACTGTGATCATATAATCAGTAGAGGAAAAGCTACTCAGGGGTCAGTTAGATTGTTAGTAGTGCACAGGGCAGTTTGGCAGACAGTAGTCATGGCTTAGAACTGAGGCAGTGCTTGTTGTTTTGCCTCAGCGTAGCTGTGCAGTGACACAATGATCACAAAAACATCCATTTAAATTACAAACTTACAGAACTCCATTCCAAAAAAAAGCGATTTAAGACCAGCAGTGTTGTGAAGTGTGATGATGTAATCATGCTTGGGTGTGAAAGGAGCATCCAGGAAATGCTGCGTCTTTTATGTGCAAGGATGGGTCGAGGCTCCTGACCTTAATCGCTGAAAAATGTAACAGTTTAAGAACAGTGCTCCTCAACATATTTCACTCTCAATGCATAATAATAGCAAAAGATTCAGATCCAGAGAAATCTCTGTGCGTAAAGGGCAAAGCCAAAAGCCACAACTGATATTTATTCCTGACCTTTAAAGCATTGCAATAAAACAGGCATGTTTCTGTGATGATATCACCACATGATATTTTGATAAACTGTTGTCAATAAACACTGACTGTCGCTGCACCAACAAATGCAGGTTAAAACTGTACTCTGCACAGTGGAATTGACATATCAACAATGTCCAGAAACGCCGCCGACTTCTCTCGGCTCGAGCTCATCTGAGATGGACTGATGCTAAGTCAACCTTTCAGATTGTTTATGGAAATAATAGATATTGTCTTCTCTGGGTTGAAGAAGAAAAGGACCACCCAGATTGTTACCAGCATAAAGTTCTAAATCCAGTGTCTGTCATGGTGTTGGGGGGGGTGGTATTAGTGGGTAACCTGTACATTTGTGAAAGCACCATTATCACTGAACACATTTTGGAGCATCATATGTTGCCTTTTTGATGCCATCTTTTTCAGGGACGTTCATGTTTATTTCAGCACGACACACCAAGAAACATTCTGCATGTGTTAAAACAGCATGGGCACTAGGCTGGCCTTCAGTTCTCATTGAAAATGTGTGGTGCATCATCATTATCGTTGCACAGCTGAAGACTTTTAAAAAATTCCAAAACTGAGTCAGTTTGTGTCTTCAGTTCCCAAATGATCATTAAGTGCTACTAAAACGAAAGGTGATGTAATATAGTGGTAAACATGCTCCTGTCCCAACTTTTATGGAGCATGTTGCAGGCATCAAATGTAAAATGAGCTTGAATTTACAGAAAAGAGTGAAGTTAAGAAGGTAAAACAGCAGATGTTGTAGTTTTAACCATTTTGAATGTAATACAGATCAAACTGAATGTACTAATCACTGCTTTCTGTTTTTATTGGCCTTCCACACACTGTCCCAACTTTTTTGGAATTGAGGGTTGTAGAAAGCTGTGATTTACTGGCTCATTATTCAGTTTTAGAACCAGTTCCTCACACTGTAGGTAAGCAAGTACGTAAGTAAATTTTATTTATATAGCACATTTAAAACCGAAGTGCTTTACAATAAAAAAAAAAGGATTCCCACCTTCCGAACACCACTACCACACATTCACCCAGCAGTGTACAGAGCTCAGTCCACAGTTCAACGACTGCTGAATGCTAATCGATCAAAATGTGTTTTAAGCTTTGTTTTAAAAGGTGCAGCGACAGCAAAAGCACGATCCCCTTTATGTTTAAGACGAGACCGAGGAACAGTTAAAAGTGATCGAGACGCAGACCTTAAAGATTTTGAGGGCGCATATATACAAAGCATGTCCTCAACATATGCAGGTGCCTGACCACTCAAAGCTTTAAAAACCATCAGTGCCATTTTATATTGGATTCTGTATTGCACTGGGAGCCAGCATAAGGACGCTAAACTGGAGTTATGTGCCCCATTAACGCTCCATCATGGTTCTCCTTGAAAAGATACTGGAGAAGCTCGACAGGTTCCTGAACTTATTCAGAGCATCAAAGCAGTTTCTAAATGGTACTTTCTACTAATTTGGTACTAATTGTGGATATTTGAACATTCACAATGAAAGGTGCTACAGTACAGTACAGTCTTAAAAGAGATGGTTCTTTAAAGGTTATTTAGTAAAGACAATGGACCTTGAACATGCAAAGAACCTTTGCATGATTAAATGGTTCTTCAGATGGATGGAGAATGTGGTGTATATGGTTCTATATAGCACCAAAAAGTTATTGTGATGTCAAGCTTATACGGAATAGAAGAACCCTTTTTGGTGCTATACAGAACCACATACAACACACTCTCCATCAATCTGAAGAACCATTTCACCATGCAGGGAACCATTTAATCATGCAAATTTGAGTGCTTATGGTTCTATATAAAGCCATTTCCTTTATGAAAGAACCCTTGAAGATCTTTTTGAAGAATGCAGTAAAAAATAAAATCAAGTAAACATTAAGCAACACTGAACTGATGAAATGTAAAGGTTTTTTAGCCATCATCAGCACTGGTGGTCCATGTTAGCATCAGTGTTAGCATGCTAGCACTTTCTCCAGGCTGAGCTGTCAGTGTCTGTGTTCTTTGTTCACGCTGCACAGGAAAAAGAGGACAAAGCCATCCTGCAGGTGGAGGTGCAGCATCTTCGGCAAGACAACATGCGTCTGCAGGAGGAGAGTCAGACGGCCGCTGCCCAGCTCAGGAAATTCACCGAATGGTTCTTCAGCACCATCGACAAAAAGCCCTGAGAGAAGCCCTCACAGGCAAGCAGATGGACCGTTAGTTAGAGTACCGCCCCCAGCGTGCCCTCTGTGCTCCAGGAGATCAGGGTTCTTCAAGAGGGCACCCTCGGGGGGGAGAGAGAACCACTGGAACGCTGTCAGTCCCTGGAGCGTCGTATACTCTTTAGTACAACCCTGTTGGTGCTTCAGACATCGCAGAGCTACCTGAGCTAACAAGGCCATCAGAGGTCCTGAGAGAGGATGATTGTAAGTAGCATATTCTGGCTGAGGAAAGTCGCTCTGCTGGTGTTGAGTTGTGAGAGGATACGACTGAAGGATTCTCCACAACGAGTCAAACGGAGACGAGGAGGAATGTACCGGACGATATGAAGTGGTACCCAGTTCCCTATCCGAACCTCCGCTCGGAGGCCGGAGGACGATGGCAGTGGAATATGAATGTAATTCACTCAGTCCTGCTTTGGCTTCTCATTTCTAAGATCCTTTATTTGTCATTTATCCATCCCAAACTTTGTACGTAATGAAGTACCGTTGCTGTTGTGGCACTGCACCATATTTCACGTGTATCCGAAGAGCTAGTTAATTTATAGTCAATAGTTTATATCCACAGTCATCATGTCCTAGCAATAAAATGTGGTAGTAGCAGAACTTAAAGAACATTAGCACAAAATGTGAGTTCCTGTTAAGGTGCGGTCGTACTGTATTTATTTTTATTCAATAAGAGTCTGTGCCTCGAAAAAGATCTGAAATTAAGCGTTTCTATGCCTCGTTTCGCTCTTTTTCGTTCTTTCTTCTGAACACATGCCTTCTCTCCATCGCTCACCGAACCCCGTTGTTGTTGCGGCGTCGACACATTTCTTCTTCATAGTTTCTCTCCGTGTCTCCAGACTTCATGAGCCGGCGATCCACACTCACGATGCCAAAACCTGTTTATCTCTGTACAGAACCTCTGCTGAAGTGTCTTGTATTTAACACTGTTATTTAAGCTTATTTAACCTAAATTTGTTTATTTTATTAAACAAAGGGTTTGTTTTGATTTGTTTTCTCTGCACTAAGTGGAAGAGGCTCTGATTAGGCTAGACTGTAACGCGTGTAGCTTTGACAGGGCTGTGTGGAATATATAGAAATATTAAAGAGTTTTGTTTTTCTTCATTCCAACATTTGGATGCTGCTAGATTACACTGTCTTTGTTTGTATGCTTTTATTGTAAATTTGTTTCATGTAAGATGGTCATTTTTCTTTCTTTTTTTTAATAAATGTATGTAAAAATTTGGTAGTTTACACAAATGTTATTTTGATGTTAACAACTAATAAATGAGTTAACAGTGGAAGACAATATTGGTTCAATAGTGAATCACCACAGTGACTGATTTGTGTTTAGGCCACGAGTCAGGAAACTTCAACTGACCATTAAATGCCAGATTAGTAAATGCAGTGAATAATTTAATTGTTTTTAGGTGATATTTGTACAAAAGTTACATACGAAGTGAATTAAATTAGCCGATTGGCTGATTTTACTTCATAGCTGTTGATAAATAGTAGCTGCAAACTGATGACCACTCAAATAAACAGTAGCTCACTGCTGCCCTCTAAAGGCGTCATTAACAAACATCAAATAAACGTCACTCACTGCCCTTTTAACACCTGAAAGGTAGAACCTTAGTTTTTTGCAAGACCCATGTCGTCTTAATAAATGCATTATCTGTTTTTTATGTTTTATGTTGCTTCAACCCAACAAATAAAACTTCACCAGATCTGCTTTCTGTTTGTTGGTACATAAACATGTGACTGTGAAAGTTAACAGCTGTGGAAAATAATTGCAGTCATGTGATTGTTGTAATTGTGACAGGCCTGTGTGGGAGGCTGCTTGCTGAGCATCTTGTGCTGCGACTTGTGATGACACTAACGTTTTTTCCCCATTTCAGCAGCCACAGGAGAATTACAGTTGCCATGGCGGTTGTTGCCATGGATGCAAAATATTAGCTGAGTACCCTTTTGGGAATGCTTTGAGACCTAAATCTATCAGACACTTATCTCTGGGTCCACATGTGGAGCAGTGCCTCCCTCAGTATAACCAGACATGCAGCAGTAGCTGCAAACGCACTACATCTCCAAAAGTATCTAGACAGTCATGCTAATGAGTGAAACCAGCTATTTTAAGGTCACCAATTACTGACACAGCTCATATAATCTCCAAAGAAAAGCACTGACCAATAGAATGAGATGCTCTGGAGCAGCTGCACATGATCCTAAGGTCTCCATGCCCAGTGCCCAGCGTGGGCTAGAGGGATATAAAGCCCCCCAGCATTGGGCTGTGGAGCAGTGGAACTGTGTTCTCTGGAGTGATGGAGCTCCATCCGATATGTTTGGAATGGGTTAATGTGATTATGATTCAATGAGATGACATTAAATAATAAACTGCACTTTCTGTGCGTATATATATGTCATTACACACGATCATGATAGAATCAAATGAAGCTCAGATTTTCTCTGTCTGATGTGAAAATTCTTTTTTTGCCCTCTATCATAAACGCTAATAGCGTTAGCTAGCTTATGTCACATTAGTAAATTCTTTAAAAAGTAATAATTCTAAAAATATCAATCAACATATCAACACATCGTCCTAGTTTCCATTCTGGTGCTCTTATTGGTGATGTGATAGTGTTGGTGACTTTGTCCTTAGCTGGACGAGTAAATTGTTAAATTGTGTTTAGCTTCAGCTGAAAGTGTTACCAGAACCCCCTCAAGAACCGTTAGGTCCTGTTGGTATTAATCATGAGCACTAAAAATCAGGGCTGGACTGGACCAGCCCACTGCAGCCACATTCAGTTTATATAGTGTTAAGTACAAAATGCTTTGGTTCTTTTCATGCGTAAGGTCAGTCTTGCATTATCTCGCGTTAAATAGTGACGCATCCATACAATACGAGTACATATTTTTTAGTACTTTAGTACAGCTGTTAGTGTGAGTGTAATGTATCTGATGTTAAATGAAGGTTGTTATCTCGCTCTGCTACATCAGTGATCTCTGATCGAGCAGCGCTGCAGTGGAGGTTTAGTTCTCTGTCAGAAAAGCTCTTCTGTACAGCTGTCAGTAAAGTAGTTTTCATAGTTTTGATCCTCATCTGTCTCTTTCAGCAGCAGCACAGCGACAGCAGGAATCACATCCGAGGCTGACGCATCCGAGGAGCTCACGCTTCCGGTTTTCCGTCCTGTTGGAGACGTTTGATTGGCTGGTTGAGCTGTAGCTGAATGTCCTCTAAAGCCAGACAGACACTGTGTGATGTTAGAGATCTTGTTCTTTGGTGACTCTCACTGTCCGTTTAATAGACCATCGTGTTCAGACAAAGCTACGATTTATAAACTCACACTGTACGAAACGCTCCGTCTGACTGACCTGCTACGGGAAACACAGCCTCTACAGACGCTCTGACTACAGACCGTTATCAATAAAGCTGATTCACTCAGAACAACCGCGTACTGAGCAACACGCTGAAACTCTGAGCTACAGCAGCTCTGCTGACCACACTGCACTGAAATATATACATGGTAGGACAGCACAGTCTCTCTACAGCTTATTTTACAAAGACAGTTTAAAAATTACTGTATTAATGTTTATATTTTGCTATTGGGTGTTAAACAGAGTACAGTCGCATATTCGGACCTTGGTAGCAAATGTCGACTTTTCGCCTCAGTTTTGTTAGCCTACATTTATCCAACAGTTTTAAAATCTTAAAGTACAGACCAGAATATTGACCAATCAGGATGGTTTTCTTTGTGGTGTCTAGGTAGATATAGCTATGCGCGCTCTTCAGGGGCTGAAGAGAAAGCCTAACGTTAGATTAACTATGAGCATAATTACGACATCACAGAGGAATCAACCAGGCACGCTTTGATTTACAGTGGATGGGACTAGTGCATGAAGAAAAAAGTCACTCTAGACCTTCTGGACGTTCTGAACACGTCACTGATGGAATACGAGCTGCAGTCTGATCAGTGGGCTGTTAGGAAATGAAAACAGCTCTACACCAGAGCAGCTACTGAGAGAGTCACTGTGAGACTGTTACGAGGTAAAATGTTCACTGGTATGTCTGTGAGAACCTAAACATGCAACATCTTCAGAACCTTTAAATGTCTGTGTTTAATCTTAAACCTTAAATGCTGCTGCAGTTACATTCTGAAGCCAGTGAATTTCCCACTCCACTTTAACTGCACCAGAATGAAACTGCTGCACTGTTAAAGGTGGAATGGAAAATCTGAATAAGAAGCTTCGTCAGAAAGGGTCGCCACTACTACTAGAATCCTATCCTATCGTTAAGGTGGGTTTTTGTGTTTTGCCATTTAGGGCCCAAACTGAAGACCCGGCTCTAACAGTCCCGGGGCCGTAGTTCAGAAAATTCTGTACTGAGATCTGCTTTGTTGTCATGGCAACTTCAGTTAAGACTGAATTTAGGAGAGAAGCCATTACAGAACAACAGATCTTAAGTCTATAATCTTATTTCCAGATGAGAAAACGGTTTTACAGAAACATCCTAAGTTGCCAAAATATCCTAAATATGTTCTTAACTGTAAGATAAACTCAGAGCGTCTTAACTTCTATTTAACCGTCTGATTCTGTTGTTTATGCAGTGATGGGCAGCTCAGCTCACTATAACCAGCATAATGACGCCACATTTATCTACACTGAAAACGGAGCTTTGAGTTGAGTTTTATTTCTAACAGCGTTTAAAAGCCCAGACGCTGCAGACTCGATCTCCACCGCCCCTCTGATCACCTTCGTGTGTTAATGTTGATGATGAAATATTACAGTGATGGTGGTGAATAATGAGGAGACGGAGCTGAACGTGTGTCTGTTTATTAGGAGGAGTAACGTTAGCGCGCTCGGCTAAAGCGTTTGGGAAATGGAGACTGAAACTGGGGAGCGGCGACACTCTGATAAACAGCAGGGGGCGCTCTCACAGTATTCACTACTTACAGTTTATCACTCTTTAGTTTTATTTGACTTTCTTCACCTCAGTAACGGTAGCTAACGTTAGCTGTCTGACTGGCTAACTTGATTACGTGTCTAGCTGTGCGCGTATGGTCGGTTGCTAGATAACAAACGCAACGGTTGATTGTCGACTTCAATCAAGAAAGTTAAGATTTCCTAACTTGAGATAAGAAAAGATGCTGTAAGATGAGATAAGATTCCTAAATTAAGCTCAGATTTGCTTCTGTAATACGGATTGGTGTAAAATCTCCTCTTGACCGGTCAGATCAGAACTTAAGATAAAAAGATAGGAAGTTTCTGTAATACGGCTCCTGATTCCTCACTGCGCATGACTGCAGTAGACACGGTTCTCCTCTAGAAGCTCTGAGTGAATGATCTAGCTGGTAAACTGCATTATGATGAAGGCTGCTGTGGAGGCACAGCTGGTCGGATGTGGCTGGATCTCTGTGAGGGGTTTTCGGAATCCAGCTGCAGTGTGTTACGGAAAATCACTGCATGAGCACCAAGTGACTCAGATCTCAGCTGAAGCTCACTGATCCGTTCCTCTCGTACCGTTTCATGTTCTATTCATATAGAGCTACTCTCCAATGCAAAGGTCACCTGCATTGGGTGGAGTGAGTTCCTCTCCTGGGTCTCACCTGCAGGACCAGCAGCGGTAGAACTGAGATAGAGAGAGAGAGAGAGAGCGAGAGAGAGAGATATTAAAGGCCTTAATGCTGTGATAATGTCCTCTTTGCAGTGCTTGTAACTCTAACTGCTCTCTCTACAAACAGCCTGCCTGCCTTATTCTCTCCTCTAACACACCTGAACACACCTGAGCAGCATTCCTCTTTTCAGTCTATGAGAGCGGCTCTTTGGCTCTTTGGCTCTTTGGCTCTCTAATTTTTAATGTCATGTTTAATTTATTCTCTTTTAAATCTCTTGTTTTAATCATGTTTTTAATTTGTCTTTTTTAATTTGAATTATCTTTTCATTTTCTCACAGTGAGATTGTGACCCACACTCTTAAAAAAGATGGTTCTTCAAGGGTTCTTTAGTAAAGACAGTGCTCCTACATAGAACCATGAACACTTAAAGCACCATTTGCATGCTTAATTGGTTCTCTGCATTGTGAAACGGTTCCTCAGATTGATGGAGAATGTGTTGTATATGGTTCTATATAACACCAAAAAAGGTTCTGCTATTGTTATGATGTCAAGCTTGTGGAACCTTTTTTTGGTGCTATATAGAACCATTTTCAAAAAAGGTTCAATGTATCTAGATGCAAGATGCAGGTCTGGGGTGTCCAGGGCCCCCTATTTATTCTCTTGGACCCCCTGAATGTTCCAAAATCAAAATTCTGGGGTTT